AAGGACGAAATCAGGATAAAAAAATGAAAGAAAAAGAGAAAACTGCAGCATACATGTAGAATGAGGATAGGGTACTATCACTTTTCCGTTGTTGCGTGGGGGGTTGTTCGAGAAAACGCACGAGTAGATGTACGCGGCGACCGTAACGCAAGACGGTAGTCTCGTGTAAACCTCGTGAGCCGTCAGTCTCATCTGAAGTCGATGAGGCGTGGCCGGCCAATCTGGACATGAGACCCGAGTCTCATCCGTAGATAGTTCAGATGACATGTGCTGTTGACTGTGACGTGAGAATGAGGTCTCTGATTTGTCTAGCGTGGGATCCAAAGTAGCTTTAACGATCCTGCTAGTAAGTTTGATAGGTCTAGCATCGTGTCCCGAATTAGTGGGTCATCAACATGTCCTGCTTGGACGATCAATGCTGACGATTTCGATGCGGCTCTGCCGAGCAACCTTGAAGGTCATTTCGTGTCGAGGAATCATGTGAAAAGGTGCTTCGTAAGATTTCTGCGAAGGTTCGCGTACCAAATTGACTCGTATGAAAACATGCGAATAGGTAGATAACTCTCGAGGGGGATGGACCTGTCGATGTTGTACTCGAGTTGACACCGGAGGCAGAGCTCGATTGAATTCAGACAACCGTTTGACGTAGTTTGATTTTTGGAATTTATCACGGCTCCATAGTGTGGAAAACTCCCCAGACAGACGCAATGTCGTGCCATATACCAATGCAGCGGCGAAACATCCAATATCTGCCTTTGACCTCGTTCTGATATCTAAGAGGACGAGCAGTAAGGTCTCGTACTAACTGTAGTTTTCGTGTACTGGAAGAGCACTTTTAAATTTGCGATGAAAACGTTCGACTGAACCATTCGAAGCTGGGTGGTAGGCGGTAGTGCGTATGTGCTCCGTACCAAGCAGCCGGATTAGCGAGGAGAATTATTCGAACTCGAACTGTTGTCCTCGGTCAGTTTTGACAGTCGAGGGACAATCGTACAGAGTTATCCATCGTTCTACGAGGCGGTGAGCAAATGTTTCCACCGTAATGAGATGGGAATAGGTTCGGCTATCTTGTGAAACGATATATGCACGTGAGCATGCGATCATACCCATGTGATGGTGGCAACGGTCCAACAATCTCAGTATGAACATGATCGAAACGAGCATGAGGCGTAGCATATGTACCGATAGGGGTGGCTACGTGCCTGTGCACGTTTGGTCGTTGATATTGTAAACATTGCTAAACCCACATACGGACATCTTTATTCGTGGAAGGCCAGACGTATCGTGCTGCGATGAGACGTAAGGTGGCTGCGATACCTGGATGAGACAAACCATGAAGGGCACTGAATACGAGAGGACGATGAGCAGAAGGGTCGGGGTGAACCAGCAGAGATGTCACACAGGATAGTACCTGAGGTGCAGCTGGTGGTAGCTAGTGGTACTTCCTGGCACTGAAGGGATATCGATTTTGTGCTTCTGCAGAAGGAACATTTGCTTGAGCAGCGGCCATAGCGGGAAGATCTAGCACTGGTAAAGTAACTGCATTTATTTGCATACGTGAGAGAGAATCGGCAAAATAGTTTGACTCGCCCTAGATATGACGAAGGTCTGTCGTGAACTGATATATATAGTCCAAATGTTTGGACTCTCGTGGTGAGTAGCGGTCAGACTTCGTATGCAAAGCATACGTTAGAGGTTTATGATCGGTGAAAAGGTTAAAATTACGACCTTCTACTGAGTGCCGGAAATTTTTTGAGGGCACAGTATGCTGCTACCATTTCGATACCAAAAGCGCTATATCTCGTCTCAGTGGGAGTAAGAAAAATTCGAGAGGTTGCCAACTAACAGAGATGTCCTGTCGCATAACGGCCACTATTGCGAAATCTGATGCATCAACCGCCAAGCTAAGCGTGGCGGATGGGTCAGGATGGGCGAGGAGCATGGCTTGAGCTAAAGCTTTTTTAATTTCATAAAATGCAGTACGTGTGGCATCGTTCAATTCTAGTGTGTGTGGATTACCGCGAAGTAAGTCTGTTAGTGGTCGCAACTGTTCTGCCGCGTGAGGAATGAAACGTCAGTAGAAGTTGACCAAACCGAGGAAAGCCTTCAGTTCCTTGAGTGAGGACTGTACAGTGTACTCCAGGATTGTACGTACTTTGTCTTCACAAAGTAGAATACCCTCATGCTTAATAATGTGACCGAAGAATTTTATTTCTGCCTTGCCCAGTTCACACTTCTCTGGGTTAACTACTATTCCATTATCTGAAAGGCGTTGGAATAAGAGATTAAGATATTGATAACGTTCATCTACGTTTGATGATGCGATTAGCAGATCATCAATACGGACGTGAGCAAAATCTAAGTCTCGTACTATGCTATTGATAAACCTTTGGAAAGATTGAGCAGCATTCCGTAATCCAAACGGCATTCGTAGGAACTCACGTTTAGCGAAAGCTAATTTGTCCAGGGCCAGTCGGCGAGGCCGTGCCGTGGCTGGTGATCCGTGGGTGACGATGTGGTGTATCCCATGGTGAGTCACCGATGGAATCTCCTCAACTGGTTTAGTTACCTGAAATGAAATGAATGAAATACCGCTGAAATTCGATACGCACCTGTTTGGGCTCGGCGAAGTATCGATTAGCTGTAGCCTACGTGAATCGACTAGCAATTCATAGTGCTGTAAGGAATCGATACCGAGTACGGCTGTGGGAACATCAGCAATGATGAACGTCTACAGATACTGTCGTCGGTTTCTCAGGTTGACCGACAGCTGTCGTGTACCATAAGTTGGAATGACAGAGCCATTCGCAGAGCGTAGTCGAAGTATCATAGGTTGAGACTCGCTGTTACCAAGTGGTACGACAGAAACTTGAGCACCTGTGTCAACGAGGAACCTAGCGTTAGTGCGGATATCGTGCACGTGAAACAGGCGGCCCACCTTAGGTGAGGGGCCGACTAGTACGGCGCAGTTACCCGTTGGCTTTTAAGCAAGGGGCTTGAGAATTATGAGCGCCAGACTGGTGGAAACAGCACCAATGACGCCTCTTGGCGTGGCTTGGAAGATGCTTGCTGTTGGCGAGTACTGGCAGCCTTTCGAGGTCGCGGACGGGCTCGTCGGACGTGGGGTTGGGGTATGTTGGAACGATATCGAAAATTGAGACGGCTGTGAATACAGCAACCCCTATCAAACTGAGCCTTCACATGATTGGAGTCGAGTTCCCCGTTGTTATGTAACGTGGACGCAACTGTGTAGTTGTCTCGGTTGCCAGTTCGCGCGATTACTCTGTCTGCCATGAGTGCAACCTGGTTAAGCGGCATGTCCTCTGGAAGAGCTTCGATCGAAGGCTGAAAATGAGCTGGTAGTGATTCTAGTCACAACTCTCTGACGATGTCAGAGTGAGATGCCGTTGGTCCTGCTAATGATTGCAGGCGCGTGAGGTGGTTGTTAGGTTTAGCAGCACCCAGAGGGTTGCTCCCCCGATGGGAGGAAATGTCGAAGCATGGCCTGCTTTAGACGATCGTATACGTCTGGTATACCAGAGTTGACGACTACCTCACGAACCTCGGCTATGTGATCCCCCGGTGGAGACTCCAGAGCATACGCATACGTATGCCGATGGTTCGTTAAGCGGCGGATCTCAAATTGAGCTTCCAGTGCCGCAAACCAGACCTCTGGATAGTGGGGGGTGGAGGGTTTAGGTCGAAAACTAAGAACCTGTATCTGTAAGTCGGCTAAAATATCGTCATTTTTGGGTCATCTACCATTTTCAGAAGCTGTTGTAGTTATAATACTAATATATGTCTGTATATGTGATTATATATATATATATATATATATATATATATATATATATATATATATACATATATATCACTAAAGTTAAAATAGTAAGAAAATGTGACAGAAAAATGCCAGACTCATCGTATTTACTGCGTATTCGAATTTGTAGCTGACCAGTATAGCGTTTCGTATGATATACTTCTTCGCGGGAGAACAAATATTACTCTCGGACTCAAAGAATCAAGAAAAAAACAGATTCTAGAGGAAGAAGTGTATTTGATACTGACCTATTGATATCGAAATAATATCGAGGCAAGATGGTGTACAGAAAGCTAACATCCACGCACGAGTCGTGCGAAGAGGAGAATGGGAAAAGCACACCTGGCGCGCGAGAGATAGTCTTTAGTACAGATAAACAAGAAGTGTACAGTATAACAATTATTGTCAGGATTAAGTACAATAATAAATGTTTATATTTCAGCAGTTGTGTTTTCTTCGTAAAAGCAAATCACTACAGGTTAATGTTCGGTCTGCTTTGCATTTATCAAATATATGTTTCTGTCTAGATGTTCCATCTTCTTACATTGGGAATAAACTCAGTGAAATCATTACTCATTCAAACTCTCAATGCTGAAGTTATCTTATTAAGTATTACTGCCAGAAAAAGATGACAATGGAATTGGTTAAATTATTCCAACAAATCTTAGTTTCAGCTGTCGTGTCAATAACTGTCTCATAACTTATCGTTAACAGTTGTTGTAAGTGTTAATCGTTTGGGTATTCTGTGTGTATACTAAACAGTCTGTTCCGTTTTTGGACTGATTGAAAGGAACGTTAGTGGATTTACAATAAATTCTAGTGAATATATGTATTTGTTGTCAGAAGAGGGTATTACCCGCATGGAACAAATCATATATTATTCACAGTTGGGAAGCTTATCTTCACACCTACCGGTTTCGCCTTGATCTAGCTTTAGGGAGATGAAGAGTAACTAATTTTTGTCACGCAATTGTTTATGGACGAACAAAATACGCTTATGATTCTTCGAATTTGGCGCAAAATTCATTTATTCGTAAAGGCTATATTACATTATAGTATTGTAATCTAAAATTTCTTTACTGATTTGGAAATTTACTCCTTTTTATAATCTAAACAAACACCAGTTTCTGATAGTCCTCAATTACAAACACGTAAGTAAAGTTTCTCAAGGACATTCCCAATCAGAACTGGTGGTGGGTAATAAAAAACGCTCCAAGAGGTTGTCTTTTTTTCTGCCGTGGTAGAGTAGTCAGCTGACTTCTCACCCTTGTTACTTTGTATTGGAAATGTCATTGAATCATATACTTTTCTCTCACAGTAATTGATACTCATCTGTAATTATTTGCGCCCGGTCTAAATGTATATGGTATTTTCCTTTTAGACATAAAACGGGTGCAGTCACTTTGATTGTACAAAATTTGGATGTGGAAATAGCTATTACCATCCTGCATTAACTACTTAAGAACTAGCCACATATATGCAGGGCGTTTGCAGTTAGAACTAGATGATCATATTGTGAACATCTGTTATAGGGTTCCTCTGCCAGTCTTAATTGTCATCGAAAAACTAATTTCTCGTAGCAAGAGTCAGATTCAGCGTCACTTTTACCCCAGAAAACCGTCTAATAATCGCAATTAAAAATATCCTTAAAGTTATAATCTTCTAAAATAGTTTAGTAGTGTCCTCAGCATCAATTGTGAATAACCACCTATCAGTTCTAATAACAATGTTGATGGATTAAATGCCGATCGACGTCAGTTATCTTCCGACTTCTTCAGTATCTCATATTAGTGGTCCTGATGAAATTCATCCTCATATTATGAAAATGAACTGATCTAATTTCTAAACAACTGACAGTCTTGTTCGATAAAGCAACAAAAACCGCCAAACGATTGGAATGTTGCTTTGACTTATCTGGTTTGTAAGTAAATTTTTACCAATCACTCTGAGTGGTATTTGACTATTTTGATGTCGGGGATTATTCTATCTGCCATTCTACGTCTCGTGCGACAGAATAAAGATTTTGGAAATTCGACCTTTCATGTTTGGCTGATATCATAAATGGAACAGATAAACTGTTGAGAAAGGTAGAAATGTTCCGGGGGATGCAGTATCAGTGTACCGTAGTACATTTTTCTATCAAGTCTCTCTCGTATGGGTCTTAGAGCGAAACTGGAAAGCTTCAGTATCAATTTTCGAGTTGAAGATTAGATCCACGCCTTTCTCAGTGGTGAAAGGTGATGTATAAAATTCCCTCTTCATGGCAACCCGTAGGAAATTGGGTTCACTATGTGACAGTTCGAGACCCTCTTACGTTCTTTCTCTACGTGAATCATCTACCAAGAACAGGCAAATTTTTCACTTTTATTGTATGTAGATGATCCTTAGTCCTAGGTTCAGACCCTCATCTACGTAACTTGGTTGGTCTGCTGGGTAGTTTTAGCAGCCCGTACACGACGTGTGAATCATGCTCAAGTACTCGGTGGGTAAGTTTACCCCACTTTATTCCGAAGACCCATAAAAAATGAGGACAGTGAGACGCGTTACTTCATCTCCTCCATCTCACTGTGTTAAGATGTAATCTAAAATACCATAGCACTATGTTTAACGATGATAATAATATCATCTTTTTTTCTTTCTCCTAGGACTGACCATTTGAGAGAACATAAAAAGTTCAAATATCAAAACCTAATTATTTACTCCTGAGGTTTTGTTTCACGCATCCTGCCATGAATGGCTGAAATTCTGTTTAAGAACACCTAATGCCACCAACTGTTAATACGTTTAGAGTGAAATTGAATCTTCGCATTACCACAAATCGTAAGGATTGACATAAATTACTTAACCTACCCTTACCCTTGAAGATTCATATGGATTGGCTCGGGAAGTTATCATCTATAAAGGGTCAGTTAACAAACGTCACTAAGGATCTTCTGGCTGAAGGAACGTATGAAATTAATGGTTTGTTTAGTATTAAACCAATATTTGCCAGCAGATACTGAGAGTGAATTATCACTTGCACGCAAACGTATATGTGAACTTGAATCAGTTGTTGAAACTCAGAAGACCGAAGTTAGCAATAACTACCTTTCTGTATATAGTTAGATAAACTCTCTTAGGTGTAGGAATGAGGAGCTCCTAGTACAGTTAGAGTCATCACAGCTGAGACTTGATCACGCAAAAGAACTATGTACTCAGCAGTTACGGGAAAAAGATGTATGTGTTCATTTGTTGTATTTCTATTTGTATATTTTCATTTTATTCCGACTAAATCTTATGACTATATGTCTTCCTTAGTAACATGTCTACTACTGGACAATTCAATCAGTACAACTTCACCATTAAAATATTCAAACATCAAAGAATTTACTTCATGTCCAAATTATGAGATGTGATCAGTACATCTTAATTTTCCTTTAATTACTTATTTAAATAAATTGTGGTTGAATTAACATCTGAATATTTACGCTCTACACAGATTAACGGATTTGCGAGTGGGCTTGGGTTTTGTCCGGCTGCAAAGATCGAGTCAGATTGTCTTTTTAGTCAGGCGACCACCGAGCATTTGTCCCAAGGGTATAGTCCACAAGTCAGTGTGGCAGCATCCGGAGTCACAGTTCCATGGCAGCCGTTGACCAACAATTAGTCCGTATATCATTCGTTCCGTCAGAATTTCGGAACTCGTATGCACCATTCCCTCGAAATCAGAGTTTTATCACTGCCTTAGGTGAATCCTCGGCACTCACCACCGCGTTCTAGGTTCTGGACATTCGCTTCTCATTCTCTCAATTTGTTAAGTCAGTCAGTTACAACGTAGAACTTCGTACGTACGTACATCAGTTCAGGTTGCCATACCATATTAGCACAGCGAAGCGATTGTCTCTTCAAATCCCATAGTAGTAGAGTTGTTAAAGGTTTTAGCGGTAATGGAGAGGATTAAGGTTCGAAGATATTCAAGAAGTTATAATCCAGTGAAATAAACTTAAAAAGAAAAATTTAAAGATGATGAGGAACTCCCAAGGTTAGTATTTGAGAAAACACAAAGACTAGATGCACCTACGCCATTGCAAACAGTTTTGAGCCATGTCATTCAGGGTCTAACCATCGATTACTATCATCTTGCGGGCCCCAACCAGGTAGTTGACACCCACAACATGACTCAGTCCACTTGGATTTGGGTGATGTTTTGGTTTGGCTGCCCTCAATTTCTTAAACGACACCCCTAGCGCGAGAAGGCAGTGAGTAGGACCTACATGATAGTAGCTACATGCGTATTGCCATATGAGAGCATTTGAACAGGAAGAGTGGATTCTCCCCACTCTCGACCGTACCACGGAATATATGTATACCATTTATTGGTATTTAACGTATTCGAAGAATGGAAGTTAACAGATGTTCTTACAGTAATTGTTACAAACACCTGTTATATGTGTCTCTCATTAGGAGGAATTAATATTCAATGTTTGTTCTATTGTGTTTGTCAGAGTATTAGTTTTAAATATTGTTACTATCCTTAAAAGTTATGATTCCGTAACGGAAGGAGATGAATTTACAAGATATAAAAATCCAAATTGTAATTGTACAACTTTTAATTGTCTCATGATTATATATATGCTAATTTATTCATCTAGTGTATATGTTTACCTTATTGTATGTTGCTTTTATAGATTTTAATCTCCAAGCTACAAGCCGAAGTTTCTAATGAGCGTGGGGAACCTGAAGGACAACAAGAAGCCTCACTTTTTGTTTCCGTCAGTCTTACTGACAATAGTACAAAATCTGGACATCGACAATATCCTGGTGAGTAACTCATCCATCTGTTTCAGCATCTGTTGCTCTTTTTAAGAATCGCGATTTTATTTACTGAAGTTTTTTAAATACATGTTTTAAGAAAGACATGCAAAAGTTTTTAAACGAAATCTCGTCAGATTATACAGGAATACTCATTGAGTACAAAAATTTCACTATCTGTTTATCTTATATGCAATTAAGTTCGTTGAACCATGAAATCAGCTGCCATTAGTTGCTTTTTACTTGCACTTTTAGAGTAAGCATTATCGTGATTAGCAGTTTTAAATGTTACCCTTTGAATCCTAATTGTTTAGGTGATAGTTGCAAGAGTAGACATCGTATTTGTTTTTCTATTTAAAAAGTGATTTTTATTCTTAGAAGTCTCTGTAATCTAGTCCTCAGCCACATCAGATATTTGTAATTGAACGAGGAGATTAACAACTCATTACATAAGCAGACCATATTATACAATCCGAGCATTATCTATTGAAGAATAGAATATGTTTAACCTTTAGTTGTACAACGAACATCCAAACGTTCTCTGTAACTATTACCTCTAAATATAGACTACGATGATTGTTTTACAAGAACTTGTGCAAAACCTTCCCTTGAAATTTTTGTATTGAAGTAAATCAGTTACCTAACCTACATAGCAAATTTCTTAGGAATAACTAGTTGAATTTACCATAACTCAGTTCATTACTTTCTCTAAAGCAATAAAAATTTTTTCTGTTTTCGTAGATCTTGCAAGTGAAGATCACCAAGTCCCATCATCTGTGTCACATTCAGATGGTACAGTCACTTGGGAAGAGTTGAAAAATGAGGTTATCCAACTTCGTGCGGAATTAACTAAGTGGAAAAAAGTCGCCAAGAAGGTGAGGCTTAAAATTTTCTTCTGCCCTTAACTTTTGATATTGCTGCAGTAAAGCCGAAAAACAAGTTTCTTGTATGCCTAAGCATGTTACTTATTCTGGGACCTAGATCGCTCATCAGGATATGGCTTTTTTTACCTTGAAGATTCAAAGTCGGTTTGTGATTCATTTTAATGGTTCCTGGTTAATGTGTCCTATCCATCTCCGTTATCCTCTAGTTTCCTCCTCGACTGGCACCTGGTTTGTTTTCCGCCTTAAAAGGTTGTTGTTGACAGTCTCTGCCTAATGGATATGAAGTATTTTGGGCAGATAAGTTTCTAAATACCTTTACCCTTTGGGAGATGGTTTTGTTAGTTTAAATTTTTTTTATTCCTTACAACAGAAATATTTTAATTGTTGTGTTTTAAATTCTGACCCTGGTCTAGTGTGAAAGTTGTTTATAGCTCCAAAATTTCTGAAATTGTAGTATTACTTCTCTTGCTTTGTCATTTCCTGCCTTCACACCTAAACTAGATTCGCCTTGTTAACGATTGGTTTTGGCCTTCGCCTCTTCCGGAGTTTCTCTGTCATGTGTGATTTCGGTGGTTCATATATTATACTTCAGGACCTTGCTTTTTCTGTTGTGGACACTGAGGTATACTTATGTAGAGTCCGTCACCACAGCGACTGTCTCTGTATCTGCCAATGTATACAATAGTTGAACTAAATCATCTGCAAAGGTCAGATCATCCGAGTCCAAGGTGTTTACTTTATTTCATGCTTACTCTAAGGTATAGAGGTCTTCGTAATCCAATCATACCAATCAAAAAGAAGGAAGGCAAAAGTGGGCAGATTTGTCTAACATCAGTCTTCACTTGTAATGGATCTGTAAGCTACCGTCCGTTCTCGATTTCGCATTTCATTTTCTTGTATGAGTTTCGTATTATGGTGATGATCTTTTCACATAATCTATAATGTAGAAGACTCCACAAAATTCTATCCATGCTTTCGAATACTTTCTGATATTCAAAAAACCTGAGTATTAGTGATGAGTTTTAGTCGATCGATTGTTTAGCAGTGGCTCGCGATGTCACAATTTGGTCGGTATGTCATCCGTCCTAACGAAATGGAGCCTGTTTATCTCTAAGTGTCTTTTTCTGGTGGTGTTCTTTGTTAAAAAAGGATGTGTAAATCCTACACCCAACCCTCCTTTACCAGTGTTTAATTTCATCATAGACATGCTCCTGGATATAACCTTATCCTCGTCTGAATTTTCAGGAGTAGACCTTTTATCAGGAGTCTTGCTTATCGAATTAGAATATGCCGATGACATTGTCCTGCTTGGTGAAGACGCTGACAAAATGGAGAGTCTTCTGACCACCCTAAGCAACAATGCAAGCATGTTCGGGATGCGATTTTCCCCATCGGAATACAAAATATTGCTACAAGATTGGGTTGCATCGGCACCTGAACTGGTGATAGGGAGTGAAGTAGTCGAGCGTGTAGACCACTTCACTTACCTTGAGAGTCTCATCAGTGCTGATGGCCTGATGACTGACGAAATCTCAGCTCGGATACAGAAAGCTCGATTTGCTTTTGCCAACCTGCGTCACTTATGGCGTAGGCGAGATATCCGTTTGCTGACTAAAGGACGAGTCTACTGCGCAGTAGTTCGCTCCGTTCTACTTTATGACTGTGAAACATGGCCAGTGAGAGTAGAAGATATTCGTAGGCTATTAGTATTCGATTATAGATATCTTCGAATCATTGCTTGTGCATCGTAGTACAACCGAGTAAGTAATGCTGTCGTTAGGAAACGAGTACTAGGTTGAATGGCAGATCAATAAATGAAGTAATGAAACTTCATCAGTTGAGGTGGTTGGGACATGTGTTACGAATGCCTAACCACCGACTGCCTCGACGAGTTATGTTTTGTGGTTTAGGGGTAGGTTGGAAGAAAGCTAGGGGCGGGCAGACCAAAACATGGCAGGAATGCATGAAGTCACTGACAAGTGGACTGAGTCATGTTGGTAGATGTAGGCTACCTGGTTGGGGTCCGCGAGACGAAAGTCATCAATGGTTAGAGACCTTGAACGACATGGCTCAAAATCGTTTGCAATTGCGCAAGTGCATCTATTCGTTGAGCTTTCTCAAATCCTAATCTTCTGGATTCTTCAACACCTCTAGTTTTGTCTTTCTAAACTTTTCTCACTGAATCATACTTCCTGAATAATATCTTCTAATCCTAACTTCTCCGATTGCTTCTAATACCTCTACTATCTTAATCACTATGGGATTTGAATTGACAATTACATCTCTGTGCTGATGTGGTATGGCAACATGAACTGATGTACTTACGTACGAAGTTCTACGTTGCAACTGACTTACCGAGGGTTTGAGACCGGTAGTAACCTACGAAGATATTCCTGTGAAGTTAGGTCACGATCTACGAATCAATAAAATAAACAAAATGACGTAAAGCACGATGGACCGTAACACAACCGAATATTGGCCTAAGTAGTTGCATCTGATAGACAGGGTGAAAGGAAATCATCATTAGAAAAAATAAAAAAAGTGTTGGACGAAGAAAGGTAATCTCAAAGGAAACGAATGTAAATGGAAATCAAGAGACATAAGGTATCGCAATATATAAGAGTAAAAGAAAAGTTTTTAAATCAGTATGATTGCACCACTAAGATTAATTTTGAACAATAAATATCAATTACAATTATGTTGTGTTTTGGAATAGACGATAGCTGATCAAGTGTAACACATGTTTTAGTTATCTTGATTAGTTATAATCCGCACCCTCACCAACCAGCATTCTCATTTTTCATAGTTGATGATGTCAAACATCCTTTGTCTAACCGATTATACTTATATATTTTGTAACCCAGCTGACACCTCTAATTTAACTAGAAGATGGAGTGATTCTCACGAGGTGGTAAATCCTCATCTTCATCTCTTCTCTGTAAGATAAAAATTTCTCACAATGAACAATTTTTACACTTCCTATACAGTTTCTAATAAGTTTATTTGGAATGCTCTACCCATCATTTGTTTCAGGTTTCATACGACCTACAAAAATATTCCCCGATTTATATAATGTTTATTTCTATTTGTTTTTCACGAATTCATATTTTAGCAATAGTTTAATTAGTTCAGTATAAAAGTTACTTTTCCCCGTTGACGTTTCATTTTTCTAGAAAGAGAAATCTTCGGATAATACTTCATCGTATCAATTGTTGAATATAGATTTAGAAAAACAAATTGATGTAAGTAAATTTTTTTACACTGTAGATTCAGATTTGTTAATGATTGTGAACTATAGTATTTTCTAAACAGTATAGAAATAATTCTTATTTACAGTAATTTGATCGTTTTATTGAAATCTTAGTCATCTGTAACCTATGTGATTACTTGTGATCCACAAGTTCATACTTTTAATTTTTATTACAATAATTCTCAACAAAATATAAAATTATCTCTCTTTTACCAAGCTACTGAAAGTGTTTTAAAACGATAATAAGTTTGTTACATATCTGTGAATGGTTGTTTTTCTCATAGTTATATTATGATTTTACAGATCTGTGTTCTCTGTTTTTCTCATTGTTCGAATTCAAAACTTCCTGCATAAATTTAGAGTAATTTGGGAATACAGTATCATGAAATTGTGGGTTTTTTTATCACTTTTCCATTACTTATTCTGTATCTATATATTCGAGTTGTTGCATGTTTTCTTATGTATCCTTTCTTTGATATCTTTATCATCTTTATCTTTCTGCGAGAACCGTTAAATTTCACTTATTCGTAAATATTAGTTACAGAGTTTTATTCTAGACATTTATGGTTTCTTGTATATTTCTTCTTTCATATTTCTTACCAAGCAATTAAAACGACAATACAATGATTTGCAAGAAACACACAGAAATGAAATAGCTGCTGTACAAGAGAGTCATTCAGATCACTTATCTAATCTTGTGGAACAGTTAAAAGAAACTGAAGCAGAAGTGATTAAACTTCAGAAACAGGTGGATGATTATCAAAGCTGCTCAGCTTGCGTTGTTAAGCCTAGTCAAACAGATATTGAAAATAATGCTTCTGGACATGCCTTGAAAGCAGATAAATCAATCTCTACTGAGATCGTTGATCTAACACTAGTTGTCCCAAGTCAAGAAAATGATAATAAAGCACGTTCTAGTAAAAAGAAGAAAAAGAAGTCGAGTAGGTTTAATCTTTTCCTTAAAATATTTCTGTAAAACCTATCTTCAATTGTTTTCATCGTAGACGTTTCGTAATCATTATGAGTATTCCTAATATTTTTTTTCCGATCGAAGATACGTCTGTTATCGTTCGTTCATAATTAAAAAACTCTATTGGTATATAATAAACATTAGTTAAACCAAATTATTAGAAACAGTCGATGTTAATTTCAAAAGTAGTTAGGAGACCTAAGTATTCTGTACTTACTTAAGCATGTTACCCTGTCGGCCAGCATTCTCCAACCATCTATTTCCTGAGCTCTCCTCAGCAGTTTCCGATCAATGTTTATTCTTTTCACCTCTGTCTCCAATCCTCAGCTTAATGTGTTCCTTGGTCTACGCCTGTACCGACCAAAGTGCAACATTACAGATCATTGTGGAACTATCAATTGAATGGAACTCACCACTCTACATCAACTTCATTGACTATGCGAAAGCATTTGATAGCGTAGACAGGACAACACTATCGATCAGTCACAATTTATGCGTCAGTGTGGTGTTGAGATTAAACTCAATGACAATATTATTATTCACTTCATATCTGCCTCCAACTCTCGACGCAGTGTGTTCCTTGGTCTACGCCTTTTCCCTTATCCTTGAGGATTTCAAGTTAGGACTCGTCGCGTGACGTAGTTGGGCGGTTTCTACAATGTGTATCTCATCCACACCCAACACTTTCCTAACTTCTTCCTCTTCAAGACTTTGGTTTGTCCTCTCCCATAGTATGTTGTTGCTGATGGTGTCTGTCTAACGGATCCGCATGATCTTGCATCAGCTGAGGTGGTTGGGACATGTGTTACGTATGCCTAATCACAGACTGCCTCGATGAGCTGTGTTTTGTGGTTTAGGGGTAGGTTGAAAGAAAGGTAGGGGCAGCCAAACCAAAACATGGCAGAAATCCATGGAGTCACTGACAAGTGGACTGAGTCATGTTCGTAGATGTAGGCTACCTGACTGGGGTCCGCGAGACATTAGTTACCGATGGTTGGAGACACTGAATGACATGGCTCAAAACCGTCTGCAGTAGCACAGGTGCATCAACTCCTTGTGTTCTCTGGAATTCTAATCTTCGGAATTCATCATGACCTCTTTCTCTTTTTACATTTATTTTGTTGGGTTATACTCCGTGAATCATATCTTCAAACCCTAATTACGCCGATTACTGCTAATACTTCTACTACCTCTACCACTGTGGGATTTGAAATGACCACTTCGTCTCTATGCTAATGTGGTATAACAACTTGAGGTGATGTAAGTACGTACGAAGTTCTATGTTGTTGTTGTCTGAGTTCCATTTTTCGATCAATCAACACTTTAATATCACTTTATATTGCAGTTTGTCTCTAACTGTTTAACTGCTCGTATAACCCTTGATTTGTATCCCTTAAATAGTATTTTGAGTCACATTGCTCTTGTGAATCTTTCCGGTTTCCCTAATTAAATTAACTCACTGACTGAAAGGTGAGTACTTAACATTCTGAATTCCTCATCACCTCTCTCTTTCTCCTTGTCAAGTTATCTCACTGAATTATACTTCTCGAATAATATCTTCGAACCCTAATCTTTTCCATTACCGGTAATACTTCTACTATCTCTACCATTATGGGATTTGAACTGTGCTGATGGGGTATGGTAACTTGAAGTGATGTGAGTACGTACGAAGTTCCATGTTGTTGGTGACTGAGCGACTGACTAGACTTGGCACGTATGTGTGTTGTTATTACTGCTTTACTTGTTACTTTCTAACTTGATAGTTGCTCTGCAATATTAGTTATGAAATTCGTTTAAATTTATTTTACTCTAGATGTTCAAATAAACAAAGCTGAAAAACCTAAATCCATTTCATGTGAAATGCCATATCAGGTAAATCAAGTCTATTTATTATTTAGCCGTAGTTTTAATTATCCTCATTTTGTTTTAAGTTATGTTTAATGTTTGTTAACTTTTCTTGATTTTTATTACCTGTCCATGGTAAAAAATTAATGGGAGGAACTTATTCATCTATTAAATTTCGTACTCTACTTACTACAGTTTTTGTCTTTTGGTATCTAAGGATTTTACACTGTGATTGTTGTCAGCTAAGTAATTACCCTTTCTGTTATGATTAATCATTGGCATAATTCATTATTGATTTAACTTTGTCTGTTGCGCATAGTCATTTACTTGATCATCGTCATGTCCTGAATCAGAATGGTTATTTTTGAGATCCTTGTCAGTAATAGCAATCTCAAACATCCGCTTTATCACTACTTTTTTCTGTATGTAAGGTATGAACGTTACAATGCTTTTCTATATTTGTTAGTCTAGATTGTTATTTCCATTTCATTGTGTCATAAATAAAAATTCCTAAAATGATTTTTCCCTGTTCAGGTGTTTTGACATGCTACTTTGTGTTAAAGAACAATTTTAGTGATTTGATAGTGTGGCATGATCATTTTTGTAATAAAAGTTTTATTAGACCTTGTAAACAAATCAGTTGTTGTGTAAGAACGTACGGTGTACCCTAGATAACGGTTACTAATAGTTTTGTAATTTACATTGATCGAGCTATGTTGTCATTAGCTCTTTAACAATCGGAATCAATTTTAGGTTATGTCACCTATGATTTTTGATCACTAATTTCTGACGTTCAAACCTTTTGGATGCAAAACTTGTAATTCCCTTTCGCCAATAATCAGTAATATTATAATCCGTTAACCTTTTTTTCAAACCACCCCAAGGCTTTTCCTAACTGCTTCTACCACAAATAATATTACTCTTCAAAGTAATTTAAGGCTGGTTGTGGCTTTTAACATATGTCACAATCTAGGCAATGAATCCTTCTGAGTATTTATTATGGACTTAATACAAACTACCACGGGTCTGATACTAGAACAATACCTATAAAAATAAAACTGTTGTCTAGCAACCTATCAAAACCTTGTAGATGAAATGAATTTGATTCCCAACCAATTTTATCGATTGTAAATTTGTATGATAGGAAAGATATCTACTTCATTTACATACTTTTATTGACGTGTTTTCTAAAGTTGATTGTTTTTGTTACAAATTTTCATTGTCTATGTAGACAGAATCATCTGTAAAGATACTCATTGTGAAAATTAGAACGACACATAAGCGAACAACATTGTTTTCGATTAGATTGTCCTCAGACTTTACTCTAATATACATGAATATTTATATGAAAATGTTCAATCAATCAAGGCAGTTTGAGTCAATAATCACAATGAAATGAAATAGATTACGTCACTACACATATTAGGCAAAATTATAAGTTGGAAGTATGAAGGCAGGTGTACGAAAAATAAAACACGATAACAAAAGTTTTATCATTAGTTCAACATTGGAGATATTAGGTCAACAACCGTGGGTAAATCATTACAAAACATTAAAACCATTACGTAATAAGAAGTGTGTACATAATTAGATAGTGGAGAATATAAATGGAAAGAGGCAGAAAATTACAAAAAAAAATACAGGATTTAAAATAATGCTAATAAAAACAAAATAAGATTTAAGAATTTTTAATGTTGATCAAGTCATATCGGGTCACGGAAGAGATAGGGCGGTCACGAATTTCTTCTGAACACATAAATTAGGGTTGAATGTATGAATTCCTATGGCTTCTGCCATGTGTAGGAGACGGGATAGAACTCCATTGGGAAATGTTAGAGGTATACGATAGATCACTGTAAATGATCTAGACTTATCTACAATATGATCACTATCAACCAGGTGTGCCAAGATAGAACTGCGTATTGTTTTTAACTGACCCTTCATAAACCATGCTGGGAGGAGTTCACTCATTCGTTGGTTAAGTTGCTCGATATAACTATCTCCACAGGAGCTGGAATTTATCAGCAGCTCACTGACCAAGATCAGCTATCGCAGCGCATTCATAAAGAAGTATATGTTTGATGTAAAAAAGAAGTTGGAGACTTCGACCGCTCGAAAGAAGCCTTTATTTATTAAACTACAATTCAACGGAGATGTGGCCTGCGATACTCTGCAGGACAGATTAACGAAAGTAATTAGTAGAACATTCTAGGCAGCCAAACTTGCCTTGACATTTACAAATTCTGCTGCTCCTGTGGAGAATCACATGTGTCTACGTGAAGTAGTTTATGATTTTGCCTATAATTACAATAGAAACTCTTCAGTTCAACCATCCGTTTCAGAAAACACAAAATAATATAAATACTTCAAGACTTCATTAATTGATTTACGTCAATTATCAAGAAGTTGCCAAGCACAAACGTTTCGTTATTTTTATTCTGTAGGCTAGACATATACCTATGATGATTAGCACTTATATTGATGTATTCAAAAATTTTTTACTTTTGACTTTCTATTAGTACTTTTTTGTTGTTGTTACTACACAGAACTAACTAATCAATAATTACCTTTCAACATCACTCTGTTATTGTTTTATAGACTGATCATAAGCATATGAAGAATTCTTCCGTTGTATCTGCTGACCAAATTGAAACAAAAGGTGATCAATGACTATCAAAATTTAACCATCTTATTATTTATGTTACTTTTATTTATCATTATTCACTATATTATTTGATGTATAAAATATTTCAGATGCATTTATAAATACAATGGATTGTGTGATACTTTGAATGCACCTGTTTAAATTAAGAACTAACGAATCGTGTTACTTCTGACAAAATGCATGCTACTATTGGCAATAAACTACAAATCATCACCCGACCGTAGCTGGTCGGGCTTTCCTATCGTGATGACCCAAACGAGCTATATTGGCTGGAACATATGTTCCTGTAACTTCTACCATGTCAGACAGGTCGATTAGAGAATAGTAAGACTAAAACCAGTAACATCTTTGCAATCCGATCGAACACCAGGAGTAAGCAGCCTTGTCTGCTACCGGTCTTTGGATCGAACGAGTCTAGCAGTTGTCCTCCGTGAAGTATCTTGCAGTTTGATTCATCATATGAATTCCGTATGATGTTGACTATCTCCTCAGGCACGCCGTAGTGTCGAAGAAGCCTCCTTAGTGTTGTCCTGACCACGCTATCAAATGCTTTCTCGTAGTCAATGAAGTTGATATAGAGTGGTGAATTCCATTCAGTTTATTGTTCCACAATGACCCGTAATGTTGCAATTTGGTTGGTACACGATCGATCCTTACGAAATCCAGCCTGTCGATCTCGAAGTTGAGCGTCCTTCATTTTGTTTAACAGTAACCTGTTGAAGACTGTACCGGGTATTGGGAGAACAGTGATGTCTTTCTAGTTCTCACACTTTTTTAGGTCTCCCTCCTTTGGTATCTTGATCTGGTGTTCTACTTTCCAGTGTGATGGCACTTGTTCTTTATCCCGAATCTTGCTGAAGAGAATATGGAGTATCTTAGCAGTTACTGTTATGTCTGCTGTCAGTGCCTTTGCTGGAATATTATCTGGTCCCACTGCTTTGCCGCTCCTGGTTTTTCTGATGGCCACACTAGTCTCTTCAATTGTTGGTGGTTAAACATCGGTCGGGAGGTCTGTGGATGCTGCATCGATATTGGGTGGTTGTAGTGGTGCTGGTCGATCCAAGAGTTCCTCAAAGTGCTCTACCCGCCTGTTTCTCTACTGATATTTTTGCCTTCCTCGCTTTTCACTGATCGTTCTGGTTTACGATAGCTTCCAGTGAACTACCTTGTTGTATCGTACAATTGTCTCAAGTTTCCTACTCTTGCAACCTTTTCCCTTGTCATTGCTAGACCTTCCACATATTTACGTTTGTCAGTTCTGATGCTCCTCTTCGCTTGCTTGTTATCTTCTGTGTGTTCAGCTTTTACCTAGGCTTTTTCTGCTTTTGATCGGCTGGTGTTGATTGCAGCCTTCTTGTTCTTCCTATATTGAATCTTATCCAGAGTATCAACAGAGATCCATTCCTGTTAGTCAATCAGTCTGTGAGTGTCCATAGGTATGGCATGCGCTTTTCACCTAATTGCAAAGCCATTCTAAGAGACTAGCAGGATCCCGAATCCATACATAAAAGTAGTCAAAAAGTTCATGAATCTTGTAACTGTGTAAGTGCTAATTTTGGCTTGAGTGAAAATCAGAGAGGTTAATGCCAATCTGGGCCATCTTTGGTGCGTTCGTGATATTGGTCGTATATTGAAATCATGAATCTATTATCGTTAGACCACCATTAGAAACCTGGAAGCACTGGTCGGCTGTTTTTCTTGGTATGAAGCTCATCAGTAGTGTGCATCTACGACTCCTGCTACTCTCAGTACTAGGACCCAGAACCTTCGGTCCTGCGCGCAAACGCCTAACCTCTAGACCACTTAACCCACATACAACGGTGTTAATATCTAACTCTGATCAACCTAAGGATTTCGCGCAACCTCACCCATTGTCTTCGGCAGTTGTTGCATACACCCGACAGGGTTGAACTCCGCTGGTCACTTGTCTGGCTGCAAAAGGTCGGGTCTACGATGCATCAGGGAGAGCAATTTAGCTCTACGCTTGTGAAACGTCTCCGAGTTGATGATATTAGACAGTTTTCTGTGCTCGACCACCGTTGTCTCTATAGGATTGCCGACATTTAATGACAACACAATGTTAGTAATCCGAACTGTTTCTCCCATTTTTATCATTAAACACTCTCGTAAACTAAGTTCTATCTACTTTTCTTTTTTTACCTACTACTCAATCTCTTCACAGCTTCATTTTCATTATATGGCGCATATATATTTCGGTGCCTACTAATGTCTATGATTTAGTGTTTTAAGTTATTCTGAAGGTTCTTGCTTTTAACCGTGTCGTTGTCCAGTTGTCAGGACGTATTATCAGTATCGATAATTCGAGTTAAAAGTAATGATTATTGAGAGTTAATGAATTATGCAGTTTCAGCTGTCTTACTACCACAAAATTAACATCTAGTTTCTTGATCGAAGCTGTTTTATTTATTCTGTGTTTCGTTTTGTAATGGTCGACTTGATAAGTTTTCATTTTTGCCATTTTATTTATTTACAGATGGTTTTATTGAAAATAAACCTTACCAGTCAAGCTGCTCCACTTCGTAAGTTGGTGTACTCGATTAGTCTGTTGGTTTTGTTTATCAATGTTATAATTTATTCAAAGAAAAATACTCATCGTACGAAATTATTTCCTAGAAATTTATTATTTTACTAACGCGTTAATATCCTTTATATTCCTTGTACGTTCTGTTATTTCTACTGTTCATTTTAGTCAAACTAAAATAATCTTTCCTATTTCAAAAAATGTTATTGAATTCAAAATGGATTAATGACTTTTAGAATCACTTATGCTCAATACAAGAACATTTTCACAATTCAAATAATGTTTTATGACGAAGAAATTTGCATCACATTAGCTCACTAATAATTATTATGTACCTCAAAGCATTCAAGCTATATGTTAATATAATATGTTTAGAAATGACTTTTTCTAATTTCTGATCAGAATCAGTCAAGATAAGACACCTCTAAACATTTTGAAATTTTTATACTGTTTACGAGAAAAGTTAACTCATAACTTCTTAAACTCCTATTTTGAATGTCCCAACCTCTAGTATTATGCCAAAGTACTGCAGAAATACATTTTTTTATTGTAGGTTATAAACTGTTCAGTGTTTATTCATCTTTTACGTTTTATGGATATAAATTGAATTTGCAACGTTTGTACAAAACTTTTTTAAGTTGTGCTGCTCATTAAACTTCACACAAAGTCAAATGATTACTCTCTACTTTGACTGATTGTTTTAAACAGGCAACTTAAAAGTCTCGATTATATCGTTCTATCGCATAAATTATTTATTCTATGTAAATGCTTCCATTTCTAGGGCTTATAGCCACTATCTATAATATCTTCATAGACTCATCTGTTTATTGAACTTGTTAGTGATGTCCAAATTATCATAATTATTTATAAAAATTATTAGTCTATACATAAATTAGTTTTCAATGTTTTTATTTTATTTTTCTTCCAAGTGTTCAAACAGAATCTCTAGTTCAGTCATTAAATAAAGAATTACAAACTGATTCACCATATGAAAAACCAACAACACCAGTTCTGACTGATTCAGTTGGAATTCAATTTTCTTCAACAAATTTGGAAAATTCTTATGATTTAGGAGAATTTGACGATGCTTCTTGTAACAATTATCAATTAATATGTTCAACCGAAACAAAACAAACACAATTTTCATCACATGAAGATTTTAATAAATCTAACGAAATAAACGAACTAGCTGATCAGCTTATAAAAGAAATAAATGCTTATAATCGAGCAATATTCAACATGTTAAATCTTAATGGAATCGAATCATCGCAAACAATGTCAATTTTATCTCAATCAAATCATGAAACTAATGAAAATGCATTTGAAAAGTTAAAAATTTTGAAAAGTAACATTCAGTCTCACCGTAAATGTATCACAAAAAACGTTGTTCATAAGGCAAGTCCATGATAAACCAGTATTAGTATTGTTATGAAATTATTTACAATCGAACTAAACCATGTTGGCAGATTCAGATTATCTAGTTGAATTTCTATTATTTAGAGACTTCAGGCGAGATATGGCTCAGAATCCTTCGAAGTAGCGTAGGTACATTCACTGTTAGTTTTCTCTTAAATGCTGAGTCATGAAATCTCTATATTCGTCGTATTCTTCCTATATTTAATCTCATTTACCACCACTAATACTGTTACTACTTCTACTACGCCGAGATTCGCTTCGATAATTTTATCTTGTTGTGCCAATTATGGTACGATGACTTGAATCGATGCACATACACGTACTGGATTGTACATTATATATGTAACTGACTGAGAATAATATTAACTCCTGTAATTCATGTTTAATTATTGCTTAGTGTTTTTTTATTAAGTATTAAATTAATTTAATTCTCAGTGCATCAAATACTTTTAATGATTTGAAATTCCAATAAGATTAAAAAGTACCTTACTTTGACCTTTAGTAATATAATTTTTGTTTATATGAAACTACAGTTCAGTAACCTGAGTTTTCACCCATTAGTCATGATTATTACTTTATAATGGAAAATTGATTAATGGTTTACTGATTAAAGGTTGTCATTTCCAACCCTGTTTAAAGGCGAACAAGGTCACAAAATCCCACTCAAAAATTATGAGGTAAATTCTAGTATATAAATATGTACTTGTAAAATGTGATAGAGCTTCTTTCTCTTAGCTGGATGTTTTAGTTTTGGAGTTTTCAGTGTTTTTCTGAACAATGTCAACAGTATGCGAATTTCTGCACATATGACTGGTAGCCTGTTCTGTTGACCTCGATCTTGGTTGGTCGTTATTGACCTCCAACTTATCGTTGTCTGCACCTTTATTTTGATTGTATCCTCCTTTGATCTGTTTCTTGATCTTATAATTGTCGATGACTTATCTGATTTGAACAACACATGTAAGCGAACAATATTGTTTTTGATTAGATCGTCATCAATCTTTACTCCAGTATACATAAATATTTATATGAGAGTGTTATGCCAATCAAGGCGATTTGAGTCAATAATCACAATGAAATAGAATACGTCACTACACTTAATAGGTAAAATTACATGTTGATAATATAGGAAGACAAATGTACTGATAATAGTAACAATAATAAATTACAATAACAAAAGTTTTTGTCAATAGTTCAACATTGAAAGTGGCAGGTCAAACGTGGATAAATCGACTTAAAATTATCATCACAAAATATTAAAACAATTACGTGTGTAAATAATTCGATAGTGAAGAATATAAATGTGAAGAGGCAAAATGTGTTTTATGAATAACAAACCCACATTTTTGGCTTGATCAATGGTAAAATCGATGTTTCTAGTTTTTGCATCACTTCACTTCTATCTGAAGTTTGTGCTGACGATGTTCATAAGAACTATGACTCTCCACAACCAAAGCATCCAACTCAGATAACGTAACTCCATCACAATCATCCACCTGAACTACAAATTTTATCCACTTGGAAAACGGTACACTATGAATAACTCGTAGCTTCCACATAAGAGTACATAAGTTACTGCTGGTTAATGATATACGTTGTTGAATTTCAACATGAAAATCTATCGTGCGTTGGAACTTACGGTGATGATTACAAATCAATCTGTTTTGTTATTCACTTCTAGTCGGTGAACATGAACTTATCTGTACCAGTTTCACATGTTCATCTGTCTGGTGAATCGAACGATTTCACAGAAGTCGAACCGGATGGTTGGCAAGATGATGATTTCCCTGAATTGAATTCCAATGCTCCGGAACAAACAAAATATCAAAGTGAACTTTCTGCTGATACTGTACCGGTCTGTAATGAAGAACTTCAGGATGAGGTATAGTATGCTTTTCATTTTGATAAATACTTTTAAAATGTATACATTGGTTTACGTCAAGTATTAAAACGGTTAAGAATTTTGTCATTGATATTATGCTTATGAATTTAAACCTTTATATATTGGTTGGGATATTTGTTACGTATACCCAACCCCGACAAGCCATGTTTTGTGGTATGGGTGTAGGTTGAAAGAAAGCCAGACCAAAACATGGCACGAATCCATGAAGTAATTGACAACTGAACTGAACCATGTTACTGGGTGTAGACTACCTGGTTGGCGTCCGCAAGATGATAATAATCGATGGTTAGAGACAAATGACGTCGCTCAAAATAGTTTACAGTGGCGCAGGTGCATTCATTCTGTGTGTTCTATCGAATTCTAATCTTCTGAATAATGAGAACTTAATAAATTTTAATTACTTCACGAACTTTTAAAGCCTATCTTCGGCACCAATTTCAACGAAATTCTGATATTCTACTTGAGGTTACTTAGTATATGTGTTGTCGGAAATAAAGATGATTGGCTTATCAGTCTATTTTTGACACATCATTAACTATCGATTTCGAATTCAGTGTTGATTCACTTAATTGTGTATTCATTTTATATTCTGTAATTTTCCCCCTAGCTCTCATCTTCTCCTCATACTTTGAAAGAGAAAATCCAACAGCTAGAAGAAATGCTTTCAAACAATAGTATCACCAATGCGAATCGTATAGCTGAACTAGAAAGTCAATTACAATCATTCAATCGTTTGCAAAAATCTTTAAACACAACTGTTTCAAATTTGCTATCACTTCCGCCACCTCCTACTTTGCCCAGTCATTTACTCGGCCGACAATCTTCTTGTACCTGGCCACCTACAAGTGTTGAAGATCAGTTAGACCTATTAACTGCTTCTGAGGTTTCTGCTCGTAATGAGATTATTCGCTTAAATGATTCAATTTCTCTGCTTGACGAAAAATGTAAACGATTAGAATGCGATAATCAAAAGTTGTGTGATCAGTTAACTAAGTTTGAAGAAAATTTCACATTTTCTAATCGAACGAGAAACCTGCAGATTTCAGAGGATTTTGTTGAACTAAGCTCTCTAGCTTATCAGCTCTGCATCTCCCTTGATCCTGAAATAAGTGAAAAAGAATGGAATCCTGACGATTGGGAGACTGAGTTATTTACCCTACTTAAGGTGAGAATATTTTCACATATTTTGAAATAACCTGTAAATATACAATGCAAAATGATGAATTAGTTTATTTACCTATCCAATCAGTCTTAAACAATTTGCCAGTCTATTTTTCCATTATAGTTGTATGTACCTAGATTCGGACGACCTAATGTTTAGTCTGATTTTAGGCGAAATTCAAAACGCTCAGGTTCCTTGTAATCTTCATTTTATTTACATCTGTTTACATATTATCACTGTGTTCCTTATTCTACGTTAAGTTAGTTTTCATTGCAAGCTGGGGTTAATACATTGAAACGCACCACGAATCGGACAACATTTTATTGATTCTTCTTAGACAGTAATTGTTCTCGTATAACCATGTAATCCTATAGGGTATATTTCAGATAGACTATATAAATCTTGATGAGGTAGCAGCTATTGCTTTTAGTTTGCAATCGTATCAAAAATAAGATGTATCATCAATATTGTTTGATTATAGCCACACTCTATCATAAATTGACTGACGTCTGAAATGTGAACGATTGCGTTGGAACTTGACGACCTGAAGATATCGTGCTCATAGTTGTAATTAGAGGCTTTTTCGTTTGATTTATTTATGTTATGTTACAGTTATATACCCACTGAACACTTCTGAGTATAAATGATGCAGCTCTCTAGTTTCTCATGGTTCTCTGACTAATCCCATGATTGGCAAAAATTACCTTGTATGTGCACCACTTCTTGTCTCACTTAACTGTTACCAAACTTTTGCGATATTTCTAAAACGACAATCATATCATTGTCATGAATACTACAGTGTTTAAATTATGAGAACCGTGAATCCACTATAAGTTCCTGGTATAAAGAAAAATTATATGAATCCTCTTTCTTCACTGATTATCAAAATATTTAGTGCAACTCCATATTTGTTTTAAATCCTTAGAAGAATCATATATTTTTCTCCTTTTAACTACAAAATACTCATAGGATCGTCTAGATTCAGAAGTAACTGAAGTTGATGAACAATCTGAAGATGTTGTTAAGCTGTCCGCAGAAGTTGCAGCACTCCGTGATATTCTGGCACAACACGTGGCATTCAAAACACAAGCAGAACAAGATTTAAAACAACTACTTTTCACAATTCAAAATCAACATGACATGATTAATAAGCTGACAATAGCGAAACAACAGTTGGAAAGTGTTTTGTCAGATACGGAGTCGAAATCGACACCCATTACTACTACTGCTGCCACTGTTACTGATCTTACTACTGCAGACGCCTTCACCTCTACTGAACCAACCTTTACTACTACTACTACCACTGCTGTTAGTACTGGTACCTCTACAACAACTGATGATGTTGCTAATGATGACACGGATCATAAATGTAAAGCATCTTGTATGGATATTGAAACACAAACCTCCCTAATTATTGATAATGCTACTGATGAAGAGAATAAATCCGAAGAAAATTACGAACATTATTGTAAAGAACTGATCAAATCTATTTATTCGATACACAATGATCATTTGGTTGATTCATCACAAAATTCTCAAACACTTATCACATCACCTGAATTATTTGAATTAACAAATATTTCCAAAGTTTTCTCTTTATTAGAAAAGTTCAGTGTTAAATTTAATGAATATAAAATAAATTCAGAAAATTTCCAATCAATGTACAGTACAGTAGTGAATAGTTTACAACAAAAACATATGGAAAGTCAGTCGTATCATGAGAAATTACAGCATTGTTTAACTGAATTGAATGAAATGAAAAAACGTCGAGAAGAAGCGGAAATTTCAGCGAATAGTTTACGACAACAATTAAGTGTTCAACAAGTGAGTGTATTTATGAATCCATCAACTTTTTCTTTTCTTCTTCTTCATAAGTGTGAATTTGAAGTATAAAGGTAATTGTTTTAGAAAAAAAGTATATCGTAATTATTAAGAGAGACAGTGAGTTGTTTACTCTGCATTCCTATTCAACATTTAAGCAGGATTAGAAGATACTATTCAAGAAGTATGATTCAGTGAGAAAAGTTTAGAGAGTCGAAACTAGAGGTGTTGAAGAACTCAGAAGATTAGGATTTGAGAGAACACAGAGAATAAATGCACCGGCGCCATTGCGAACGATTTTGAGTCATGTCATTCACGGTCTCTAGCCATCGATTATTATCATCTTGCGGACCCCAACCAGGTAGTCGACAATTACCGACATGGCTCAGTCCACTCGTCAATGACTTCATGGATTTCTGCCATGTTTTGGTCTGGCCGCCCCTAGCTTTCTTCCAACCTACTCCTACACTACAAAACAAAGCTCGACGAGGCAGTCGCTGGTTAGGCATACGCAACACGTGTCCCAAACCACCTCAACTGATGAAGTTTCACCACTTCATCGATTGATCTGCCATCCTTACCTAGTACTCGTTTCCTAACGACAGCATTGCTCACTCGGTTGTCCCACGGTATACGAGCAATGCTTCGAAGACACCTATGATCGAAAACCAGTAACCTATGAATATCTTCTACTCTCACTGGCCATATTTCACAGCCATAAAGTAAGACGGAGCGTACTACCGCACAGTACACTCGTCCTTTAGTCAGCAAACGGATATCTCGCCTACGCCATAAGTGACGCAGGTTGGCAAAAGCAAATCGAGCTTTCTGTATCCGAGCTGAGATTTCGTCAGTTACCAGGCCATCGGCACTGATGAGACTACCAAGATAAGTGAAGTGATCTACACGCTCGACTACTTCACTCCCTATCACCAGTTCAGGTGCCGATGCAACCCAGTCTTGAAGCAACATTTTGCATTTTGAGGGGGAAAACCGCATCCCGAACATGCTTGCATTGTTGCTTAGGGTGGTCAGAAGACTCTCCATTTTGTCAGCGTCTTCACCAAGCAGGACAATGTCATCGGCATATTCTAATTCGATAAGCAAGACTCCTGATAAAAGGTCTACTCCTGAAAATTCAGACGAGGATAATGTTATGTCTAGGAGCATGTCTATGATAAAATTAAACAAGAATGGAGAAAGTGGACATCCCTGACGGACACCACTTGATGTAGAGAATTCCGGTGACAGTTGGCCATAAGCCCTCACTCGACCAGTGGTGTTCGAGTAAAGAGCTTGTATAAGGTTAATGTACTTCTTTGGTACACTTTCAATGACAGGCACTGCCACAGAACCTCACGATCCACTGAGTCAAATGCCGCTTTCAGGTCCAGGAAAACAACTATTGTAGGACGCCTAAATGTGTGTCTGTGTTCCAGGACCTGTCGTAGTCTGAAGACGTGGTCTATACAGCCACTTCCAGTTCGAAAACCAGATTGGTTTTCTCGAATTCGCTCTTCACGAGCTTTCGTTAAGCGTTGAAGTATTATTGAGGCCAATATTTTAGATACTATATTAGTCAGACTTATTCCCCTGTGATCGTCACAAGAAGACGTCGGTCCTTTCTTACAGATTGGGACAATCAGTGATCGAGACCAGTCGGATGGGATTACGTCCAGTTTCCAGATTCTACCTAAGATCTCAGTCAACCTAGCTTCTAAAACTGGACCACCATCTTTAAATATCTCAGGGGTCAGTCTATCAGGACCTGCAGCTCGTCCTCGTTTCAGATTTCCTAACGCTTTCTCAACGTCATTAAGACTAGGTGGACTTAGGTCGATTTGCCATTCAGGATGACTGGAGATCGTGGGTACTTCGCACTGTTCAAACATAAGATATTCTGATCATCTTATATTCAATGACTTATTGGTAAATTGCTAAGAAATTTTAATAACGTGTTTGTCAAATCATAGTATGATGAATTGAATATACCTAGATGATTATTCCTTGTCACTTTGTATCATATGGAATAGTTTCGTCAGTTTCGCCTCAAAATTCTAATCGATAATAATTTATTACTATTTATGAAATCAGTTACTAATTGATGTAATCTGACAGCTCATTTACGAAAGTATTGGAATACTTTTATGAACTTATATTTACAAACATCTATGTTAACTATTCTTTAAAATTTATTTACGGTGTATCATACTGTTTTGTCAACGTCTCATAGACAATAATTAATAAATTGATGTGCAATTTAGTGAACTGTCACTATGATTGTAACTTCCATACGAAGTCAGACATGTTTTTCATTTTTAACCTGTTGATAAGTGTATGTGTTTATTAGTGGGACATAAATTGGATTGAAGATGATTGCGTTGTTGCACTCTGATTTGTCTCTCGTAGCTAACCGGCGCTAGCCTATGCTAGAATCTTCTCTTGTAAGTAAACTTTAAATATACGAACATCTTTTTCGTTTGGAAATTCTGTTTTTCATCTAACTTTCGTTTTGTAATATAATCTATTCAACCGTGTTTTTATTTGGGGACTTGTCGAGTGCATATGTGTGCGAGAATAATGTGCAATAGCTATGTTCTACTAAGAGAGAATTATAACAATGGCAACGGGGTAGGGATAAAAAAAATTCTAGATACCCTTATCAGAAGATCAGCTCAACGGATTAATACAACAGCAAGCACAATTAAATGCGCAAACGCGGTTGTTGGAGATTCTGGCTCAACAGCTCAACATCCACTACTCGAGTCCACATTCTTTTTGAATTACGTCTTGTGATGCAATTGCTGGCAGCATCCCAGAATTTATCTATGATCCCGTAAGTGGAAATACTTTTCTTACGCGGTTCAAACGTTGGGAATATACTTTTAGAATAGAATTCATTAAACAAGAAGACGCATGGAAGACTCGATTGCTGATTCGTAAGTTGGGAAGCAATGGACAAGCACGTTATGCAGACCATATATTACCAAAGTTACTTCGAGAGCTCAATGTTGAGTAGACAATAATTCAGTTGTCAGAGATATTCGGTGAATTATCTTCCTTGCTTAGTATTCGATATCAGTGTCTAAATCTGGTGAAACGCGAAGCCGATTAATATGGGGTTCTAGCAGACATCGTCAACAGAGAATGTGAACGGTTCAAGTTACGCTCGTTAACGGAAGACCAATTTAAATCCTTAATATTCATCAAAGCTCTCCAGTCACCTCAAGACGCTGAGATCAGGACTAGTCTTTCGGTTCGACTCGATCAAGACCCGAACGTCACACTTATAACATTGTCAGATGAGTGAAGGCGGCTACAAAGCATCAGACACGTCAACGAGTTGTTTGAACAGACAAGTTTTATTTTAACCGACATTAGTGTCAATGCTGTTACTAGGTTAAAAGTTCAGAAGCCGATAAAAACTCGTAGTAAACCAACGACGGCATGCTGCTTATGTGGCGATTGGCATTATGTTCGATTCTGTCCATTTAAGAAGCATAAATGTTAGATATGCAACAAACGTGGACATAAAGAAGGTTATTGTCTACCGAATCGTACGTCTCAGCCCAAGAAGAAGAAGCATAAACGTACTCGACATGTGGTGAAACTAGCCGAGTCTAAATCTCTTTCTCTGGTAGCTGCCTTTCAAACAGACAATGACAAAAGAAGAAAGTATGCTACTATCCAGATAAATGGCATATCAGCTCGTCTTCTACTGGACACGGCATCAGGTATCACTTTAGTGTCTAGAGAAACGTTTAACTTGTCGTGGAAACCACCAATAAAGCCATCTAAGAAAACGGCTAAAAACACATCAGGTGTTGTGTTAAAACTGGTAGGTGAGTTGCAGTGTGAATTTTCCTTCAATGGTACTAACTGTACAGGAATACGTTATCTAACAGAACAGTCAAACCTTGATCTTGTTGCTCTAGATATGTTCGAAAAACTTGGGATAATGGATGTCTGCAATGTGTTGTGTTCATCATTGGACACCGCAATACTTACAGAGAAGACAGGTTAAAGATTACAAGAAAAACTGAAAAGAAAGTTTGCCTCTGTTTTTCAGAATAGCTTTGGCCACTGTACCAAGGTGAAAGCTCACTCACGAGTGAAACCATATGACAAACCTATTTCTTGTCCGAGATGTCCTACAGCATATGCTGCTCTTGAGCCTCAACGAAACCGATCGATGGGGAAGCAGTTCAATCAACATCATAGGGCACAAAGACGGTTGTTTACAGATATGGAACGTACAAGGCAGACGGCTCGTAAGAGTACGGGTGGCAAGGCACCCAGGAAGCAGTTGGACCCTAGCACCAGATCCTACGAATGTGCTCAAAGGGGAGGTGGTAGCGGGACACAGATTGGATTAAAGCATGTTTTGCGTTGCTGCACGCTGATTGGCCAATCCTCATCCAATCAGTGCTAGTCGATACTTGGAGAACATTCTAGAAGCTTCTCACGTAAACTATAAAGATACTAACGTTTTTCCTATTCTGCTTCACTTTTTTCTTCCATTTAACCTTGCTATTTGGAATATAATCTGTTCCCTGTTCAACCGCGTTCTTATTTGGGGACTTTTCGAGTGGATTGCTGTCCCAGAATACTATGCAATAGCAATAGCTAGGTTCTACTAAGAGAGAATTATAACAGTGTTGTATCACGTACATCGGTTTGAGTAATAGCCTATGATTTTAACAACGATTAAGTACTCTAATTCGATCAGTTCTGAATTGACAGTTGTATTTTACTGACAACACCTCAACCCTTATTAGCCAACACTGAAGGAAGATTATGTACAAAAACTTTGATATTTGAAGCCACCTCAAGCTCCATGAAATTCGGTTGGAACATTTGTAATCAAGATTCGTGGGATGGCCTTCAAGCAAAGAGGATCTTATTAAACTCAGAAACAGTAACAGCCAATGAGAAAGCATAGGCTATGCAGGGGATCGAATTGGAAAAAGCTAACAAGTAGTTATCGTTTCTAAAAGAATTCCGACTTTGTTTTCAAAATTAGATTTTCCTTTTGATCTTCCTAGCAACTCCCCCTTGTTAAAGTCCATCCATGGATTCTCAGTTTCACTTCACTATCGTTTACTTGGTGGTAGTGATTTTTTTGTAAATTCTTGTGGTACTGCTTCTGCCTCGCTTTGTATACTTTACGATATGTCATTTAAAATTCTAAAAGCGTCGAGAGCGTCTAGAGCTACTCTGGTGCATTTCCTATTGATCGTCTACCTATATGGTTCATATGGCGGATCCATCTATCTCCTTCGACATCCTCATCAAAAATGACTCTCCTATTCTTAACCACTACTCTATTTACCTGGCCTGTAGCCGCGAACACACATGGAGTGCCTGTTTCTGCTTATAATATCTACCTGCTGTTCAACCTCCATTTTTGATCTTATTGGACAACTGACTGCCCGCAAATTCCGTCCTTTAGTGCTTTCGCCACTGACCTTTACCGAGTAGTCTTATTATTTGTGGTACTCCTGTATATACTTATTAGTAACTTCAGAGATGTTCCATGCTCACTTCAGCGAGATTTTGGAGGAAGACCATGCACCAATGGACTCGAAAAGAGGACACGTCATCAAAATACCGAAGAATAGAGATGTTGGCAATTTAGAGACCTGCAGAGGGACAACTCTTCTCTCAAGTAAAGTTCTTCAACAGAGTGTTGTTAAATAGAGCGAAAGATTCAATAGACCTTCGACTCCGAGACCAACAGTCTAGATTCCCAACGGATCGATTATATACCGACCATATCGTGACATTATTGACGATTGTGGAACAAGCAACCGAATGGAATTCACCACTCTACATCAGCTTCACTGATTACGAGAAAGCATTTGATAGCGTGGACAGGACAACACTGTGAAGGCTTCTTCGACACTACAGCGTGCCTGAGAAGATAGTCAACATCATACGGAATTCTTATGATGGATTAAACTGCAAGATCGTGCATCAGGAACAGCTTACAGATTCAATCCCAGTAAAGATCGGCGGTTTACTCTAACTCTTCTTTCTTCTGGAGGTTGACTGAATTATGAAAACCTCAACATCTCAAGGTAAGTGCGGAATACAGTGGACAGCTCGCTTACAACTGAACGATTCGGACTTCACAAACGATATAACTCTCTCTTAACCCACACATAACAACAAGTCCACTATAAGACGCTCAGTGCAACAGCAGCCTCTTCAGCAGTCAATCTCAACATACACAAAGGAAAAAGCAAGATTCCTCGATGCGATCCAACATGCACCAACCAAATCACACTTCACGTAAAAGCATTGGAAAATGTAGAAACCTCTATATATCTGGACAGCGTCTCTGATAAACAATGTAGATCTGATGTAGACATGAAGGCACGGATTCACAAAACAAGGATAGCATTTCCACAGTTGAGGAATATCTAGAACTCAAAACAATGAACCAACATTGAAGTCAAAATTTTCAGCACAAACGTAAGGTTCGTTCTTGAGGTTTGTTAATTGTTAATATTCTTCAACAATTTAGCGTGAACGTTCGATCCAGATCAAGGCTATGTAGCAGTCGTATACAAGTATTATTGAATTTTTCAGACTGAAATCTGCAGACAAGTTATTATTTGAATTGGTTTTCAGAATGTTTTCAAATTGAACTGCTCACATCCTCTGTTTACTATTCCATCATGTGTAAGAAAATCATCCTCTTCATTCGTCACTAGCTTCATGCATCTGTAGCGGTAAATGAAGTGGATGACTGGTCACGGAACAGCTGACTAAATGCTTTGATGGTGTTTATAAAAGTCATTGCCCATTTGTTTTGCGGCAATTTAATATTGCGATATTTATCGAGCACTGTTGCCTCCAACTACCGTAAAAGAATACGTACTTTCTAAATATCTTATTGACTTGCAAAATTTACATTAAACATATCTTTATAGCGACCGTAAATTTGGTAATCCACTATAATTAAATTCAGTAGTGTTATTAACGTTATTAACAAGCATAGATCCAAATAAGGATGTTGCAGCCGTTGTGCATTTTAGTACTGTTGTTATTAGATACCATCTACGCTGGGCTGAAGTGCTGTTCCAGCAGTCGTCCGAGTGTATCAACAACTTGTAATCCTTTAAGAATCTAATCCAACAGAGGGTATTTCAGATAGACTGCAAACCTTTAAGAGAGAGCTATTGCTTTTAGTTTGCAATCGTATCAAAAATAAGATGTATCATCAATATTGTTTGATTATAGCCACACTCTATCATAAATTGACTGACGTCTGAAATGTGAACTATTGCGTTGGAACTTGACGACCTGAAGATATCGTGCTCATAGTTGTAATTAGAGGCTTTTTCGTTTGATTTATTTATGTTATGTTACAGTTATATACCCACTGAACACTTCTGAGTATAAATGATGCAGCTCTCTAGTTTCTCATGGTTCTCTGACTAATCCCATGATTGGCAAAAATTACCTTGTATGTGCACCACTTCTTGTCTCACTTAACTGTTACCAAACTTTTGCGATATTTCTAAAACGACAATCATATCATTGTCATGAATACTACAGTGTTTAAATTATGAGAACCGTGAATCCACTATAAGTTCCTGGTATAAAGAAAAATTATATGAATCCTCTTTCTTCACTGATTATCAAAATATTTGGTGCAACTCCATATTTGTTTTAAATCCTTAGAAGAATCATATATTTTTCTCCTTTTAACTACAAAATACTCATAGGATCGTCTAGATTCAGAAGTAACTGAAGTTGATGAACAATCTGAAGATGTTGTTAAGCTGTCCGCAGAAGTTGCAGCACTCCGTGATATTCTGGCACAACACGTGGCATTCAAAACACAAGCAGAACAAGATTTAAAACAACTACTTTTCACAATTCAAAATCAACATGACATGATTAATAAGCTGACAATAGCGAAACAACAGTTGGAAAGTGTTTTGTCAGATACGGAGTCGAAATCGACACCCATTACTACTACTGCTGCCACTGTTACTGATCTTACTACTGCAGACGCCTTCACCTCTACTGAACCAACCTTTACTACTACTACTACCACTGCTGTTAGTACTGGTACCTCTACAACAACTGATGATGTTGCTAATGATGACACGGATCATAAATGTAAAGCATCTTGTATGGATATTGAAACACAAACCTCCCTAATTATTGATAATGCTACTGATGAAGAGAATAAATCCGAAGAAAATTACGAACATTATTGTAAAGAACTGATCAAATCTATTTATTCGATACACAATGATCATTTGGTTGATTCATCACAAAATTCTCAAACACTTATCACATCACCTGAATTATTTGAATTAACAAATATTTCCAAAGTTTTCTCTTTATTAGAAAAGTTCAGTGTTAAATTTAATGAATATAAAATAAATTCAGAAAATTTCCAATCAATGTACAGTACAGTAGTGAATAGTTTACAACAAAAACATATGGAAAGTCAGTCGTATCATGAGAAATTACAGCATTGTTTAACTGAATTGAATGAAATGAAAAAACGTCGAGAAGAAGCGGAAATTTCAGCGAATAGTTTACGACAACAATTAAGTGTTCAACAAGTGAGTGTATTTATGAATCCATCAACTTTTTCTTTTCTTCTTCTTCATAAGTGTGAATTTGAAGTATAAAGGTAATTGTTTTAGAAAAAAAGTATATCGTAATTATTAAGAGAGACAGTGAGTTGTTTACTCTGCATTTCTATTCAACATTTAAGCAGTGTAAATTCTCGATCTTCGCACTGTTCAAACATAAGATATTCTGATCATCTTATATTCAATGACTTATTGGTAAATTGCTAAGAAATTTTAATAACGTGTTTGTCAAATCATAGTATGATGAATTGAATATACCTAGATGATTATTCCTTGTCACTTTGTATCATATGGAATAGTTTCGTCAGTTTCGCCTCAAAATTCTAATCGATAATAATTTATTACTATTTATGAAATCAGTTACTAATTGATGTAATCTGACAGCTCATTTACGATAGTATTGGAATACTTTTATGAACTTATATTAGTTAGGATGGCAGGTCAATAGATGAAGTAATGAAACTTCATCAGTTGAGCTAGTTGGGACATGTGTTACGTTTGCTTAACCACTGACTTCCTCGTCGAGCTATGTTCTGCGATATGGCAATAGATTGGACGAAAGCTAGTGCGGCCAATCCAAAGCATGGAACAAATCCATGAAGTCACTGACAAGTGGACTTATTCATGTTGGTAGATGTAGGCTACCTGGTTGGGGTCCGCGAGATGATATTAATCGATGGTTAGAGGCACTGAATGATATGGCTCATAACGGTTTGCAAAGGCGCAGGTGCATTTACGCTATGTGTTCTATGAAATTCAAACCTTTTATATTAATTATCATCTCTGTCTAAAATTTACCTCACTGAATTATACTTCTTGACTAATATCTTTGAACCATAATCTCTACGCTTACTTCTAATACTTTTATTACCTCTACTATTACTGGATTTGAATTGACAATTATATCTCTGTGCTAATGTGTTATGGTTACGTGACCTGTTGTATTATACTTTGGTGTTGATGATGATGAACTAATATTTACAAGCATCTATGTTATCTATTGTTAAAAATTCATTTACGGTGTATCATACTGTTGTTTCAACGTCTCATAGACAATTAATTATAAATTAATGTGCAATTTAGTGAACTGTTACTATGATTGTAACTTCCATACGAAGTTAGATAGGTTCTTCAAATGGAGACTTCTTATTGATACTTTCAATGTGTTTTCTTCAGTATGACTATTTCATGGCGTTTCATTGTGAGATCTGATTAACTTAAATCCATCGAATCATTGAAAGCGTTTCACGATCTGATTATTTACGTAGTTCTCGTCAGATTTTTAGTCAAAATGCACATAATTTCAAAACTTAGGTTGCATGCGCGCGAAATGCTCATCTTTTTGGTAGTTACATCAAGATTTATTTTATGTCACTGTCGTTTCTAGCTATATATCGTACATTGATTTATTATAAGAGTTCAATATATTATAAATCAGTTCACTGAAAGCTGTCCAACTTCTTTTGCACTCCAACTATACTTTATTAATAATGATTATTCGTTTGTATTATAGTTAATTCAGAAAAAATTACTTTTGTTGAATTTAGCTCCATAGTGTACCTTTTTTTTCTAAATTCCATCTCAATACCATCAGTTTTTTGACTTCATTTTTCTGTCAATTACTATTTAATATCATTATTCCTTTTTTTATCAAGATGGAAGCCGAAAATATTGTGAAACATTCAGTATCAATGAATGAATATGTAGGGAAGTCAACCGAATCTGAAAGTCAGTCTAATGCAATACACTTTGAACCGAAAACGTCGAATGAAGAAAAATTAATTGCTGAAATTCAACGCTTACAAGCACATTTAGTTGAGGTGGGTAAAATGATCAATGTATATTTTTAAATAAAATTTCTGCATAGAATTTAATAACATAAAAATTCATTATCAACAACATTACATAAATCATTTTTTAATCGTTTCTGGCTTCAGCTGTGAGTATATTACATAGATCTGTGTTGAAAAAAATTCTGTGAGCATTTGGCTGTATCCCTAGTTTAATCTTAATACTAATTTATTCTTGCACTTCTTTCCTATTAAAAGTACATTCATAGAGATTCAGTGATCATATGCAATCCTGTCAACTAATGTGGTGGGTTATCTTGTATCAGCTCGTGAAACTACCCGAATTTTTAAGTTTTAACTGTTGTTTATTCAGACACTTGATTTATTTACCGATAATCAATGAAGATGTTTCTCTTTGCAAACATCAACTTGTTTAAAATTTTATTTAAATATGACTGATCTTTGATCATTTTGAATGGCAACATCCTTTAGTAGTTCAATTGAATTCTTTTTTGAATATATATTCCGGATTTTTGGTAGTCTTCTCATATGTAAAACTTTAACCTATATAAAACTCACTGTCTATATGTCTCATCCATATATTCATAGTAAATGATTTTATGCCCCGATATAATATTCATTATCGGTAATCACTTACAACTTGCCCGTTTGTTGAGAGAGTCAAGATTTGTATCTCGGGTAATAGATTTACGTTCTACAGAATTTCATTAACCACTTACAGTAGGCACTGATTTTGTCCAAAATGACAATGATTGCTCTTCAATGAAGTCATCCACGTCAGAGAATACAACAATAATAAGAAATTGTGAAATAATCATGATTTACCTTTAGGTTTTTTAATTATTGAAGCAAGTAATGAATTGTGTTTTGCCACATCGGAATAGTTTCTTTATGAAATGTTTATTACAGTTAAAACACATAACAGACATTGGACCTTTTAAACGTTTCGTTTTCTACCACTTTTCGTACCGCAGAAAGGTGCAGTTCTAAAGCATCTGGATATTCGTCTACAAAGATATGGTATACGCGAACATTATACCAGTGACGTGCAGGTACTCTAGGGAAATAGCATTTTATAAAATTAAGAACACTGATTCCCTCGAAATCAAGGTATAAATTAGGGTAACTATGATTTTTCTTCAGTTTCTGTTATAAGAAAACTTCTAAAAAGCATTATTCTTTGACAGATCAAAAATAATGTTGATAATATAGTCTATCGTGTTTCATACGTTTGTATATTTTCTCTCATTGTTAAATCAGATGGAAGAATCTTATACCTCTGAAGCTGTTATTGCAGAAAATCGTGAAGTAGAACTCCGTTCACGTTTAACCGAAGCTGAAAATTCCCTTGCAAACTTGAAAAATTCATGTACCACAACAGATACACAAATACAAACAGCGTATTCTGAACGAGACAATGCATTGAAACATTTGGAGGCTAGTCGACGTGAGGTTCTCGATTTAAAAGAGAGTTTAAAAACTCTACAAACAGTGTTAGATAATTTCCAACGCAGTACGTAAATTTCATGTGAATTTAAGCTGTATCACTTTTTTTTCTATGATATAATGTATTCAGTCAATAATTGAACGCTTAAATAAGAGATAATTTATTTTTCCGTACCGTTCTATCAAGTACTAATTATTGGCATGTGGTAACCAAGTTATTAGTGTGATAAATTTCCAAGTTTATTGGTAAGAAACTTTTTCTATTAGTGTATTGTTGTTATTTGCAAGCCCTGGCTACCTGCTCCATCCTGTATAAAAAAAGATTACCTATGTATATATATGTATATATATATATATATATATATATATATATATATAGTTACGAAAATAAATCATGCATTTCTTAATTACTCTTTTTATGAGGAATTTCCCATACATATATTCTGGAATATTCATTTCGGTTATAAAATATTTTCACTTTATTTTCAAGAAATCCTGAATCATATTTTTTTTCGATCAGCTTCTTCTACTCGTGCATGCTAGGTTCTGTAATCTTATATCTCTTCATTATTTGCATATCAAATAGATGATGCAAAAAAACTCTAATGTTCGCTTCATATCAGTGTAGGTTTGAAATGAACCAATTACTATTTCTTGCTAAAGTGGGTCCAAACAGCTACTAAATTGTAAACAGTAGGACTCTTAATTCATCTATAAACGGTTAAATCTTCCAGTCTTTGGTATTAAGAACGTGATTTGATCGGTGTGTTTTGGCATATATGTATCTTCAGCAGATTACTTTTGTATTATCATCAGTCGCAAGCATTCTTAAGCACAGATTGACATTGGCTTACTGTAAATTTCAGGAAGCGCTTATCATCTCAGTGTACCTGCATTGTACTGTTGATATTCACTTCGGGCTAGAATTTAATTCCTATTACTTCAAATGTCAACACGCTATCCACTTATCTACTGGGTCTTAATAGATAACTGTGGCTTGTATGGTGATGATGACCGATTATAATCAAGTTGTAAGGATTTTTACTGCTTATAACCCATCAGATTGTATATTCAATCCGTGGAACTGTTGCTTCAGTTCATCTAGTTCACCAAGTATTGTTATGTCAAGATTATGTGACATTAATTCTTCGATTACATAAACCTGCAAACTAACTATTTTTTTTAGCAGCGATTAATTGTAAAATGCATCTTTCTCTTTTCTTCAATGTTATTCTTTATCATTTTATAATTATAGATCAAGAAGCAACTCTTCTTGCTGAAACAGAACGTCTTCGTTCTGAACTTAATCGAACTATTCAAAAAGAAATAGCTACAAAACAAGAAATGGAACAATTAAATCAATCACTTATTAACTATCAAGAATTAACCAACGAGTTACATCAAATGAAAGGTCTCAATCAACAACTGCATGATCAAATTCTACGACTTGAAACAAAAGGTTAACAGTGATATTTAATTGTTTCATGTAAATTTGTATATTGCAGTTAGAATTATATTTCATTATCTTGAATAATCTGATAATTTTAGTTTAACAATTCTATAATAACCTTACGGTTTGAATTCTATATTCCTTTAACTTTATTCAGTGAATGGATTTCACTTGTTCCAATGAGTTTCAGTTCTTAAAATGGAAAATCTCTCTAAAGTGTATTTCAATTAGAAATCATTTTCAGCACCCATTAATTGATAACATTATTCTAATAGTGTAGACACATGCGCATATACCCAAATGATCTAAGTTCACACTTCTAAAAACCTATTCATAGAGCACGTAGAAAATATTTGTAAAAGTCATCCAATGCTGCTTTTAATTGAATATGATGTATATTTATTTCACCAGTATATCAATAGAACAGCTCTTTTCAAATCACTCAATTCATGGAATACTTAAAGTTTGTTTAGTTAATGTCTTTTATTTTCTGATCAATCAATCATAAAATGGATTGGTAATGTTAATTTGGCCAAAATATCTTTAAGAATGAGGAAGTTTCATTAGAGATTTTTCACTTAATACAGGATAAATACCACCTATTCATTATCTATAATGAACATTAATTGGTACGTTTTACTAGTTGTCTGTTGTAACATTCTGCATTTGGAGGATAGAAGTCAGATACTAACAAAGAGTCCTAAGTTGATACTGTAAGTTAAAGATAGATGACAGTTCTTGATTCACACACTAGTAAGAAGAACGAAACAGGTCTTCCACCAAGGAGCTTTTACTATCTTCAAGGCAAAATAGAAATATGGTGCATGTTGTTCGTGATTGACCTTGAGAAACAGCAAAACTAAGTTACCAAACGACAAAGAAACTAGGGGAGGTAGGCCGAAGTTGATTGGAAGAGATACGAATACCTGATCAGCGGTGATTGTTTACATCACAAAGTGAGGACTTATTACGGTGATATAAGAGTAACAACATTTTCGAGACATTCTCAGTGTTCTTGGATATCAGAACTTAAAACAACTTCATTCTTTGCTGTAGATTACAACGATGCATAGCACATAAGATAGTACTGTACAAATACATCTCGCTATTTGAGGCCCCCACACTACATTGCTTGTTTATTTTAATCTTTTAGTAAAAAGTCGTGATACAGAAATTGATGGACTTCGTGATCGTCTTGCGAAAATGGCTGCAGATACAGACGCACGAATTGATAAGTACGAGATGAGCATTTTCTGTATTGGTTTGTTGATTATGAATTATTTGTTAATTTATGGAAACTTTTTGGTCTTGATTATTCGATCACATTTTATGTTGATAGATTTTTTAAAAGAAACCATATAACTTGCTTAACCTACTCATAGTCAGTCGTCTACATATGCATATATTGTCGAAGAGAATTGTAATCTTGTTATGCGAATCTGCTTTTAGTAGTGCAATTGATAGACGACATGCATCTTATCTGAACAATATGATCTATGATCAGTCAATAAGTAAAGGCAGATACAATTGGATGCACCACATATAAATGAAACAATAAAGATTATAATTGACTTCTTATTCTGTTTTTCCTGCTTGTCATTTAAATATCCAGTCCTTAATAATTACAGTATGACAATTGAATTTCAGTCTATAACCATGAAATACCAGAATGTTTCTTGATAGGTTATACACAATGATACAATTTCGTTTACTGATTTCTCTATAGAATCCTTCAAGTCGGTAGATATTGTAGTGCAACATAACTAACCAGCAAACAAAGTGCTTTCTTCATAAAATCATGATTGGAAATTGTTTGAAAAATTAGCGATTGTAGGATATGGGTTTTGCAGGTTATTCAAAATCAAATGAAATACAGATCTCACTACCAAACTGGCTCATACTCATCATATCATCTGTATAAAGTAATACTAGGAAAATATTTCGTAGTTTCATACTAGAGATCACTTGTAGATCAAATCGAATCCGCGTTTACTATTATTCATAGTAATACAGTACAAACACAGTATAGTTACTGTTACTATAATCCGCTGAATTCAGTGTCCTTTACCTTGTACAGACGTTTGTGTTATCGATTCCATTCAAACAAAACTAAAAAAATACGTCCCATCTGGAAGGAGTTTTTTTACAGCGTTTGGATTTACAGGTTCACTTTACGATACTGCAACACGATTATATTGGAACTTTAATAGTAGGTTCCGTGTACCAGATAGCAAATGTATATATAGCCTTCTTTTCTTTTCTAGTATACCAAACTGCTTCTAATATATATATATAGTACAATTATAGAAAAACGCTTTAAAATATTATTTTTTCCCTCCCTTTAGAGTACTAATTAAGAACTTACTACTTAGCTACTTGCAGTTACATGGAAACCAACGTGATAATGCTATTCGAGTTATTGGAAGCCTTTTGGGATTTTCAGATGAGGATTACCTTAAAGTTAGTTTCCGCATATTTCCTTTAATTCGTATAATAATTTTCTGTTATCGAAATTCAGTCTGTAATTTTTTTATTATGATAATCATAGGAACGCTGTAAATGTATTTATACGCAACAATTGTACATTTAACCGTTCATCTTCCAGGCAACATTTGAATTTTATTTCTGGATCACTGGAGCTAGGTAATCATCACGTTTCCTTAGAGGACGTAGTGCTGGCTGATATAGAAATAGGTTGGCAGAAAACTAGGATAGGCCAGACCCGAATTTGCCACCGGTCTATGAAGTTAGTAACTGTTTGATAGGTGTCCGTACTATCTACTTAGGATCCTCGCAATGATCGTTAACAAGGGTTCAAGGCACTGGGTGACGTTGCTCAAAATCGTTCATGTTTTTTTACCAATAGCACTGTCTGTTCTTTAAGTTTATTTACTTTTTCATTTTCTTGTAAAAACAATGATACTTCCATTTTTTGTCATACTCTATCTTTAATAATTTGCGATAAGTACCACGATTATTGTGATTTATATTGTATTCTTAGTGATTTATAGTGTGTACTTCTTGTTAAAACAAATCTTTACGTAGATCGGCAATGAATCTGGTGCATTACCTAAACTAGTGAAATGGGTGCGAAACACTGTATCTAATTTACCTATGGGACCCCCACAAGATGTTCTACTTTCGTCTGATCATAACAATAAGGTTAGTAGACTTGACATAATACTTTTTACTGTTCCGAATGAACAATCTGTTCTATTATTTTCTATTTGTTTCGCTAAATTTATCTTCACTAGCTGTAGTATGTATGTGTACGTTAGTGTGATATTATCACTCTATATTATCTTTGTGTAATGTAAGAAATTCTCTATAATCTCGGTATTAATTCACCAGCTATCGAAAGCAAGACTTTCTATCAACCGTTGCAAAGTCGCTACTGTGTAATCTAGTCAACATGTATATGTGTACTTTCGCTTTGTACCTCATAACTCTGCTATGCAGCTGATTATCTTAATTCAGCATCAACTACTGCCGAATCGTAACATCAATAATTCCAAAATGTTCCACCATACTTCTTGTAGGCTTTTCACGAAAAATGAAAATACACTACATTCAGTTGTAATCATAACAGAACTATAGTTATTATCTTGATATGTTTGTTTCAGTTCTACAATAGCATTACGGAACTGTTATGAACAGCCATCATAGTAGGGCTTTTTTGTGATAATTACTCAGAAAAAAAATTCCCAGCATTTCTATTGTAAAAGGAGGGAATTTATGTTACAAATCACTTTAAGACTGGTATTCTCATTAACATTTAATCAGAAAGACATAATTATGGATAGAAAACCTGGTTTCATTACTAAACAGCCAATTCATGTAGAATAACTTTAGATGCTGTACAATGTTTTTTTTCTCAGATTGTCTTATTATATATTAGGTAGTATAGTTAAAGGTAAATTTTAAAGGTGTTCACTCTACTCACTCTAGCTTTGTTTTCAATCGCTTTTATTATTATTAATTATTTCATTATTTTTATATTTCGTCTGCTAAATAAAACACAATAGTACATATCAGATGATTAGCTTACAATGTACTTCTAGAAACATGTGTTGTGTATAGGAAAAAATAGTCATTTGAAATTCATGATTCCAACAACCTTTTGCATTTATATATGTATATGAAAGACTCGAATGTTTTCTCATATGATAGTTTCTTGTTTTTTCCTAATTGGTTAATCAGTTTCCTTTTCGAAAAAAAGAAAATCTCCCGAATAAACAATCGATTGATTAAAGTAACCCATTGTCATCAAATAAAAAGAGAATTCGACGAAGAAATTTTTTCTTTTTCTGCGAAATCATTTACTTAAGCTGTACATTCGTATTGATAGTTTTTTGATAAATATATATAATTCTGTAGAAAGATAGAAGAAATTGTATCATAAAGAGATCCGAGATTTCAAATATCAATAGGAAGTTACGTAATAATCTAGGAGTTAGAAGAATTGAGGGAGTAACATAATTTAATAGTTGGATATACGCGAGATTGCCTGTCCATTTAACGGGCTTGTTTAATTAAATTTCCAAGTCATCAGACCAATTACTCTCGTATTACAATGAATGCTAATCACAATCTATCATTTGTTTGTACATTTGTAAATAATTAGTACTACATATTTTCATTTATTTCAATATTTACTTGTCTATTGAGCAAAAAAAGAGTTATTACAAACAATCGGAAATTAAAAACGTTGATTAACATAAAGTCATCATCGAACAAGATTATAATCGCTGATAATACTCCAGAATGTATGTAAAATATTACTGTATTTGGCAAGTAGTTGATGTAAAGTGAGTAACATCGACATTTCAAATAGGTTACACTAAAATACTCATTTTTTATGACAATCAATGTATCGATTCTCGACATACATTATTGTTACTCTAATCGGTTTATTATCTTGTATTTTCTCAAACACATGTATCTTACAAACTTGTAAATTATTTTTGAAATCACGCTTCGTATATCTTAACATCTCTTACCATATTTAGACTGTTTGTGAAGTATTTTTTACAGTTCTCTTTCACTGTATCTGAGTGTCTGAGCATTGATCTTGAATTTCTGTGAATTGTAATTGGCTCAAATTTTAATATGAATCGCAGCTGTTAGTCACGATTGGTCCAAATGTAAATAAAACACCAGAAATGTGCTAATAAATCTTTCCTGTTTGAATCATTTTAAAAATAATATTTTAACCGTCTGATCAATCAATTTACGAGTGTTATATACCAGAAGATTTTGTGAGCATTTTACTAGTAGGAGTGCCTAACTTGCCACCTCCATTATATGATTAATAAACTTCATTGCGACTAGACTAATTAAGGTAAGGTATTATCATCTTAGTAAATGTGAAAAGGTTTGAAATTTTTAAAACTATAACTAGCTATTCAGATCATACTTTTGGTTTTCACAGTGTAATTTTATGTTGTGCTGGTATCTATAATAAGAATGTAGGTCTTCTGTAGACTGAACTGTCATATCAAGATTTCACATGACCTCCAACTTTTGTTTCTTTGATGCAATATTGGAACAGTATTGTTTCAGGTCTTGCAAGCGTCATCATAACAAAAGGAGTTGTGCAGGACGGTCTGTCAAAAAGTTTCATAAAAAAAAGCGTTTGGTAATTTCCCTCATCGTTAATAATCTCAACATACCTTCAAGTACCTTCAAAGTTGGATTACTTATTCAATCTTTACCTTCTTGAGTATAGTTTGTTCCGGTTAGGACATTTTTTTGATCGTACAGGTACGATTTGAGCATCCCTGAAGCATAATGACTTGGCACAGTTATTTTTACCTACTTTTTTCCAGTCTGAAACTGTGTATAAAATTATTGACATTTTATGATAACTTTGTTGGTGCATCATCCCAATTTTTCATCATATTTTAATATTCATGTCACTTTCTTTTATCGAAGGTTTAATAAAGACCATGATCATACTTTTTTGGTTTCTTAGACTTTCACAGAATTGTTACTAGCGTTTTTGGAAGAAGAATCGTCCCCTCGGTCACCAATAAAACTGCCTATGGATTATTATACACCTAATATGACCAGTTCAACTAATAAAATCAGAAAGCAAGTGAACGCAACTGCTACTGAAAATAAAAATTATTCTGTTAGTGAAATTCACACAGGTTCTACTTCTTTGTCCAATCCTCCTAAATTTGATAATGATTTAAAGCTATCGGATCACAAACCGGTTTTCTATATGCTCTAAAAATGACTTTATTTATTATTTCCTTTCGAATAATTTTTCTCTGTTGGCTGTGAATGTAAAACTTCGATTCTCTTCTACTAGAATTCTTATCTGATTTTGACTTTTTTTGATTTCTTATCTTTCGCATAATGGGTAAATTGCAATAATTTGTTTACTTTGTTGTTATTCAGTGTAGTAACGTAAATCGATATCAAATTGAGTACTACAGTTGTAAATCTCTTCTTCAATTATTAGTTGGTCATCGTAATGATTAGTTACCATTCGTTATTATATTGCACAGTTGAGAAAATGGATGCACACATTGACCTTTATGTAACCGAAAAACAATTATATTCGGCATAGTCAAAGTCAAGTCATAAAACAACCTAACCACCATTGATGAGATACTCGAGTTGTTAACACAAAGGAATTCTAACCCGTTAGCGTTGTTCCCTTGCATGGATTGGAATCCGATCCAGGTCGAGGTGAGAGTAGAGTCCGCTCTCTCTCTTCTGGTGTTTTCATATGGCAATGCGTATATAGCCACCACTAAGGAAATCCTACTTACTGCCTTCTAGTGCTAGAGATGTTGTTTACGAAATCGGCAATAAAAAATGAAGTTGGTGGGTCCATGTAGAGAGTCTGGAAGCCCTTGCTCCGAACCGCTGGTGTACGTGGGCTCCAGGATCCTGGCAGAACGAATAGTGTGTGAACCTATTGTCGGTCACCGGCTGTCATAGGATGGCGACTCCTAACGTCGCTCCAATGCCTTGAGGAATGGACCCTCGGGTCAAATGTTCGAAGAGTGGCCCCCGAGGAAGACTATCTGCCTCGGCTGCCCAAGCTAAGAAGTATCCTAGCCCACCCACAAATTCAGTAATTTGTATGGTGCATATATATTTATGTGCCCCTTCTGTACCAATAATTATGTGCTTCAATCAATAAAGCACTTGATAAGCCCAAATAATCGTTACCCCTAGTTGAGAATGAATCACGACTATCATTAAAACTCACCAATCGCATTTACATGACTTTAACACCGGACAACCGTTCTACTATATTAATGTCAAACAAATTTACTTTGAGAGTTGAATTTGACGAACTAGTTCTTGTTTATGCCCCATAACATAATGGTTTAACTGAATGTTATCTTAAAGTGCTAACTAATTCGAGTTTGTCTTGTCTTTCCTTGGGTGAACTGTTTTCTGGTAAGATAGGTTTTTCTATTACTTATAAGTGCGAAAGTTACTTCTAATCGACTCACTTGATTAGCCCCATTAATGCGACCCGATAAGTTTTCACAATTAAATAGTGCACAAAGCTCATTTGACCCTGCCTTTATATGATGTATATTGCTATCCTAGATTCCAATTTGATGCATCAGGTAACGGCGGTATCAAAATTAACTGACGTTTTATGCAACACTCCAGTTTAGTCTGAGCGTAACTCTTAAATTAACAGCACTTTTAATGTACATGATTTTTGATACACCGTATGTTATAAATGCAGACTAATTTATATCAAACAAGCAGTCGAAATATACTAGTCTTTTTAAATTTCAGTAAGGGTATCTATCATCTGTTTAACTAGAAACAATAGAACTGAGTTGATATGGTATCACAGAAATCTCGACAGTCAACACCAAATGGTTTGTTTAACCAATGGCGTGTTAACGTACTCATTAGTTTGGATGTTTAATGATTGCGCGTTTGATATAGCCACAGATTTTTGAAAAGTGTTGAGGGTTAAGTATTACTGACAGTAACTACATATAAAACGAGGCAAAAATGGTTTAGGATAACAGCCGCAAGAATAAGTTTGAAGTGAGATTTAGTTTTCCCGACCGTAGCTGCTACCTTGATGTGGTGGTCGGGCTTGCCTATCGTGATAACGCAGCCGAACTATACTGGCTGGAACATATGTTCCTGCAGGTCATACCATTCCAGGCAGGCGACTAAAAGCAGCTGCTTACGGTTTGAGGGCGAAGTTGTACTGCTGACTGCAGAGGGGTGTGACAGCAGTAAGGTGTTTCCCTCGGACAACCAGCATCTGCAGCGATGCTACCTTCTCACAAGGAAGGAAGTGTTAGAGCAGGTCGACCCTAAAAATGTCACACCTCACGGATTTCCGTCTCCTTGGGTAAGGGTGCCCACTAAGGGCCTTTAAGAACGGAGCTAATCCTCAAAAAACATTTCATAAAAAGGCCGTGCGTGACCGGCCTCAAGCAGTTGTCCCTTGGGCTCTGCGGTCACGCACCAACACTAATCTATCTTCCTTTTCAGGTTCCTCAAGAAACAACCTTCCACGGTGTGGGCAGCCGGGAAGTGACAACCGCCCTCATACCCGTAATAGCACACGAGACCAAATTGGTCACACCCAAATCTTTCCTACTCCCCTTAACATCTCTCTTATCTCCACGAATAACTCTTCTCACATTCCTTTATCACAGTGCACCGCCAATGCAAACGATGCGAGTTCACGAAACTTTATTCCAGGTCTCCTGAAACCCCGTTCTAAATTACATGTTGGAGCATTTAATGTCCGAACATTGTATCAAATAGGGCAATAGACCGTCCGTTCTACTATACGGATGCGAAACATGGCCACTGAGAGTAGAGGACATTCGTAGGTTGCTTGTCTTCGATCATAGGTGTCTCCCAAGCATTGCTCCTGTATCGCGGGAGTGTACCGAGTGAGCAATCCTGTCGTTAGGAAGCGAGTACTAGGTAAGGATGACAGAGCAGTAGATGAAGTAGTGAAATTTCATCAGTTGAGATGGTTGGGACATGTGTTACGTATGCCTAACCACCGACTGCCTCGACGAGCTATGTTTTGTGGTGTAGGAGTAAGTTGGAAGAAAGCTAGGGGCGGCCAAACTAAAACATGGTGGAAATCCATGAAGTCACTGACAAGTGGACTGAGTCATGTTGGTAGATGTAGGCTACCTGGTTGGGGTCTGCGAGACGAAAGTCACCAATGGCTAGAGACCTTGAACGACATGGCTCAGAATCGTTTGCAATGGCGCAGGTGCATCCACTGTTTGTGTTCTCTCTAATTCTAACCTTCTGAATTCCTCATAATCTCTACTTTTCTCCTTCTACATTTATCTCACTGAATTATACTTCTCGAACCATATCTTCGCTCCCTAATCTTCTCCACTACTGTTAATACTTCGACTATCGCTACCACTATTGGATTTGAACTGAGAGTTGCGTCTCTGTGCTAATGCAGTATGGCAACCTGGACTGATGTACTTACGTACGAAGTTCTACGTTGTATCTGTCTGTCTGAGATTTAGTTTTGGTTAACAAATAATTTAAACTGATTGGTCTTATCTGAATGAATTCAATATCAGATTGGTTACTGCCGTCTGAGTGCTGTTAGTTAATTGTAATAAATGTAATTCACGAAATGCTAACGACATAGTTTCTGTGAAGGTAGTATATAGTGATCATTATCTACAACAGCGATGATTTATTTGTATTCCAGTGTTTTATGATAATATTCTTTAAAATATGTTGTGCTGATACTGAGCCATGCCAAACCGATTCATTCCCACAATAATCCTCTTCATATAGAGTAAACTCATACCTGCTTTCATAAAAATGTGTTGTGAATGGCTTGTCATGAACTAAAATCACCGCAAGAAGTACTGCTAACCACAACTAAATAAGTGGTTTCTGATTACTGAATGTTACATCTCTGACCGTTTATGATGCCTACATTAACGGTTTTAAGACGTACATTATTGAATCAGAACCCAGTATCACTGATATACTTGTTGTGAAACCAAAAGACATTCCGTTTAACTTCATTTACCTTCGAGAGATTGCATTACTCAGTGGTCTCACACAAGGAATAACTACTTCGTGTTGTTTTTATACTAATCGTGGGAAAGATACGGGAAAATAATCGTCCTTTCAAATGTTTGGGTAACCTCTATACGAATAAAAAATTGTTAGGCTGTTTGAAGTTTATTGAGAAATTAACAAAAGTACAGTCATTCTTCACCACTGGATGAATCACTAGAAGAGTTCGATGACATTTCTGAACATTCTGTACCTGCGTGTTTCCGATGTGTACGTTTGGAATGTGACCGAGACGTTTTACTGCTCGGTGTAAAACTGGAATGTGTATCACTATGCGGATACTGCATATATTGTGATCCTGAGATATTAGGAGACGGTGGAAACGCTTGTCGATTTCCAGCATTAGATGGTCGAGGTGGAACACCACTTGACCGAAATGATGTAGCCTGACTTGGTTGCACTTGACCGCTTCCCAGTTTAAACGGGGGTGGAGGTAATGTGATATTACGAGGATGCTGATCCATCATATTTGTACCAGTAAGCATGGCGGCTAGTGAGGTTGACGGTGGTCGAGAAGCTGAAGTTTGAGGAACACCTAATTCTGAACTTGTAGGATTCCCCGGGGTGAGATTCACATTAGGTCCAGTCCATGTAGAACTACCAGATTGTGAGAAGGACATAGGTGAGGAAACCATGTTAACTCCCGGTAGAATCATATTCGGAGAGCAGGTTACTAAAATTTCCAGTGCATACAAAATAATTTGATCCTTACCAATAGTGTACAAATATCAAGTGTATACTAAAATAAAGATAAGATTATTAATTCGACATGATCCTACACAGCTGTGCCAAAATATCTCTACGATGTTGAGAGCATAAAGCTACATGCTTTTACTTAGCGAGCCTTAAATAGACGATAGGTTGCAAGTTATGCATAGAAAGCACTCACCAATGATATTGATGAATATTTCACTTTCTGCACGAGATTTAAATAACTGCTAGTTTAAAAGATTTGAGATATCCAAACCAATCGAAATTTACTAATCCATTACACATTACACAACCCGGACCTAAAACTTATTGTCTTAAGTTTTAGGAGAATATCACGTCTGTTCTGAAATTGCCAAACTGGTTACTGAGTTTTCCTCCCTTTAGTATAACTTAACTGGGAATGATTGGTTATCCTTAAAAGTTTGCGAAATGAAACAATTTCGCTTCATCTACCCACTTGCATAGTTTTCAAGATTTACTACTGTATAAGTGTGTATCCTCAATTCTTCCATAACTGTTATAGTGCATGGTCAATTATTAAAATATAGGAAGCTCACTCTATCTCATCTTCAGCTTACGTCAAAATAAAGTCAATTGTCTGATGAAAAGAATACAACACCCTGACGTGAAAAAAATTTGGTATGGCGTTCAAAATAACAACAGAAGGTGGGAATTACCTAGCGGTAAACTTGTGGGTTGAGTTTGGTTATTGTGATATACAGGAGTTTGAGATGCAGCTAAATTCGGATTACACATATTGTTTGAACCAGAACTACTGGAGACTGATGGGGTAGAAGAAACAGCTATAGAAGCCGCAGCAGCAGCGGTATCTGATAAGGCGTCCCAGATCGACTGACGAAAATTGCCAGCATCATCAATATGACCCAGATATCCACGCCGGATTTCTTCTTTATTTGGATATGGTCTCCTAGGGTCCCCCTGAGTCCAGTTATCCGGGGCTATTACGCCATGAGTAGCACTTATTCTGTGGGAAAATCTAACGAGTTCTTCTATATCAATCGGATTTTTAACAGCGACAGTCATCGAGTCCAACTTTTGTCTAGAGTAATACAAAGCAGTGCTCTATTACAGAGGCATAGGTAATGAACAAAAAACCAACCAAAATAACCTCGGTTTTCTTTAAGTGGAGCTGACATGACTGAATTTGCTTGTCAGACTTCAAACAGTCTGCTTTAAGGAGATCGATCTTTTTCTGTATTTCATTGTAAACTTCAACTGAAAGACAGAATTAGTATCACATACTGTGAAACTTATTGAGATACTTTCTTTGTAAGTTTCCTTGAGTTGTTGATCTTTTTCCAACAATAATTCTATGAGAGGAAGCAGCGTAACAGAAGATTTCTTTTTAGATGCTGTGGAAAGTATGTCTCTAATAATACAAAAGAAATGTGATATGCATTATATACCTTAAAATAGAATCAGCATCTTCCAACTGACCTATCAATTTCTGTCTTAAAGATACTCTGCTAGACATGGTACGTATGATCTTTGAAAGGTTTATGTTTGGTTTACAGATTTACTACCGTGAAGTGAGAATGAGCAAAAGCCCAAGAACGTTTAACGATGATCGTCGATATTGAAAATCACGTGAACACAAGCATCTAAGGGTGAAGAGAGAGAAAAAAGTCCTATTACTTCAAGAAACTACATTATAAACAATAATGAATGGAACTAACATCATCAAACCCAAGTGCTTTGTTGAGGAATTGTAGTAGATTCGCTTTATTACAAGTGGACACGAGTAAACCAAATTAGAAACGTTAAAAAGAGTCGTTTGGTCACTTGCCGCCGGACAAAAGTGTGATACGTATTTTTTTGTCATTGAATCGTCTATTTTCTGCACAGTTTGCTGACAATAATATGCTCCGTTCCCAAATGAAACGTACGTTTGCCTTGATCGTCGAAACAATTTCGGTGTCAAATAAGTGGATAGAATATGGGTGACTTACAATGCACTAACTCTGCAAGTTTATATTGTAACAGATGGCTGAAACTGTCAGTGTAAATAGTCTTATGTTGAGATACAAAAACTGAAAGCCTTTCATAAATGTTTTGCATCTTAACCAATCAAACACAGCAACCAAACTTTACAGAAATAAATTCAAGATCAAAAATTTTCGCTGACAACCGAAACTGTTATCTTTAGTTACATGAACAGTTAGCAGTATACTTAGTCTAACAGAAAAAAGAGGTAACGCACCATTACTATTTTCCGCTACTGGTTTGACAGTATTAAATATCCAATTTATTCAACTCTAGCTATTATAAACCAGTTGATTTCTCTGACTTTTTTAAGTACAGTTCCTGGTTCACAATGCATTTAGTGATTCTATAAGATATAACAACTACCATCCTGAAAATTTTACCTGTTTCTACCTCAAAAGCAACTGACATTATGTTACAAGTGCTACGATAAACATATTTAATTCTTGAGCCCGATAGGTGTTCTTTTGGTTCCGTTCTTGGTAACCGGTAGTTGCCAGGCAGAAGATCAGTCAGTTGCGATGTAAAGGCTTATGAGGAGTAAAGTCTGGTGCCAACGAGAAGAAGACCTGAGGTAAGTTAATAATGGAAAAATAAGTTAGTTAGTTCGTTTGTTTACTGGAAGCGAAGATTGTGCGAGGGCATATAAAAACAAGCAAAGAAGGGAAAACATAGATAGTGAGCGAGGAAGAATATGTTAGTGATCTGTAGAAATGGTAATAATAACGACTAGCTCGTTTCTAGACATACAGACATAGCTGGTCCACGAGGAAGATGATATTCATAATGTGAGTAGGTGTTTATCAAGTCCCTTCTTAAAGCTACTCACTGAGTGGACTGTAGTCCTCTCGGCTAAAGAAGCATTCTAAGCTACAACAACTGAATCTGTGAAAACGTGTGTACGAACCTGGGTGTTCACTCTTTGATGCACAGTTTTTTGAGGATTATTTCGTGGGACGTGATGTTGGTTCTTTGGCAAGTTGCTCAACCTGGGATGATTTGATGTGCTTAATATGTTGTTCACCCGCGATCGGATCACTTCTGACTCTCCTATAACTCAAAGGGAATAATCTCAAGTGTTTTAGTCCATCTTCTTTGGGTTAGTTCTTCAGAACCACTACCCATTTATTCGATTGTCTCTGCACTCGATCAAGGAGAAGGGGTGTGAACCTCAAGATGTAGGTGTAATACTGTTTTAAATAGTGTCAACAATAATAATAAGTTGATTGCCCTGGGTTACCTTTGAGTTAAAAGGAGACTCACCTAAGCCTTAGTTGCATCCGCTTTGTAGTTCGGACCGGTATCTAGGAAGAGTGCCATACCTTACAAGCTCACTTCATCGTCTGTAATATCAGGTGATAGCTATGTTTCATTTAGGACTATGGTCTTCAGACACATCTGAGAGCACATTTCAGATTTCAAACAACTTACCTCCTATTCCTCTTACGCTGATAAACAGGCACTTATTGATCTGCCTCATCACCCGGTGCACGTCTGTGACAACAGCCTTGTCGGATTTTCAGACAGGTTGTTGAAACAGAGTTAGCTAGTTCTATTGGAACCGGCCTCTTTAGGCTTTCCGCTTGTGTAGTCCATTCAGCGGGCGAGGACATGATCTCTGTGTCTTTTGTCGTGGGTCAGACATCATTGGTATGCGCTTATTTTAGCATCTCTATTTTTGCCTAACAGACCTTAGTTGGTGTGAATATGAATATGAATAGAGAAACCGCTGTGCATGTTGTGACAAGACTGAAGAGCTTCAGTTAAACCTTATCGATTTTCGAATTCCACAGCTATCAAACGCGGATACCTAATACTTACTCATGTCTGTTACCCCCAATGGAGCATTGGCCGCCCACCAGTTTTCGCCAACCAACTCTGTCCTGGGCTTCCCTTCCTAGTTCTTTCCACTTGTTCTTCATTCTTCTCATGTCTTTCTCTATTTCTCGGCGTAATGTGTTCCTTGGCCTTCCTCTTTTCCTTTCACCTTGAGCGTTCTATGTGAGGGCTTGTCTTGTGGCGCAGTTGGGTGTTTTCGTAATGTGTGTCCTATCCACTTCCACCGCTTCTTCCCGATTTCTTCCTCTACTGGAATCTGGTTTGTTCCCTCCAACACCAGGTTGTTGCTGATGGTATCTGATCAGCGGATCCTAAGTATTCTGTGTAGAAAACTGGTAATGAATACTTGTATCTTCTGGATGATGGCTTTCGTAGTTCTCCATGTTTCCGGTACATACAATAGAACTGTCTTCACATTTGTATTGAAAATCCTGATTTTGGTTTTGGTTGAAAGTTGTTTGGAGTTCCAGATATTTTTCAACTGTAGACATGCAGCCCTTGTTTTGCCGATCCGCTCCCTCACATCTGCATCGGATCCACCTTTCTCGTCGATGATGCTGCCAAGATATGTAAAGGTGTTAACGTCCTCCAAAGCATCTCCATAAAGAGTGATTTGGTTGGTTTATGTTGTGTTGTATAGGAGAATCTTACTTTTCCCTTTATGTATGTTGAGACCTGCTGCTGCTGAGGCTGCTGCTACACTGGTCGTCTTCTCTTGCATTTGTTGTTGCGCGTGCGATCGAATAGCCAGATCATCTGCGAAGTCTTCATTGTTCAGCTGCATCCTGGCTGTCCTTTGTATACCGTGCTTCCCTCCAGATGTTGACGCCTTCATAATCCAGTCGATGACCAGGAGAAAGAGAAAGGGTGAGAGTAAGCAACCTTGCCTGACACCGGTCTTCACCTCGAAAAAGTCTGTTAGCTGTCCTCTGTGTACGATTTTGCAGTTGAATCCATCATAAGAATTCCGTATGATGTTAACTATTTTCTCAGGCACACCGTAGTGTCGAAGAAGCCTCCACAGTGTTTTCCTATCCACGCTATCGAATGCTTTCTCGTAGTCGATGAAGTTGATGTAGAGTGGGGAGTTCCATTCAATTGATTGTTCCACAATGATCCGTAATGTAGCAATTTGGTCAGTACACGATCGATCCTTCCGAAATCCGGCCTGTTGATCTCGAAGTTGGGCGTCTACGAAGTCCTTCATTCTGTTTAACGATACCCTGTTGAAGACTTTGCCTGTTGTTGAAAGAAGAGTGATGCCTCTGTAGTTCTCAAACTAGCTCAGATCGCCTTTCTTTGATCTCTTGATCAGGTATCCTTCTTTCTAATCTGATGGTACTTGTTCCTCGTCTCAAATCTTCTTGAAGAGAATGTGAAATATTTTCGCAGTTGCTTCCATGTCTGCTTTCATTGCATCTGCTGGAAATTTGTCTCTTCCTGCTGCCTTGTCGCTCTTCATTCGTCTGATGGCCATGCTGATCTCTTCAATTGTAGGTGCGCCTCCATCTATTGGGAAGTCGATAGTTGCTGCCTCGATATTGGGTGTGTTCAGTGGAGCTTGTCGATTCAAGAGTTCCTTAAAGTGCTCTATCCACCTATTTCGCTGTTCTTCACTGTTACTGATTACTTTGCCTTCCTTACTTTTCACTGGTCGTTCTGCTTTACGATAGTTTCCAGCGAGCTTCTTTGTTGTACCGTAAAAGTGTCTTAAATTCCTTCTCTTGCAGCCTTTTCCGCCGTCATTGCTAGATCTTCCACATATTTTCGTTTGTCAGCTCTGATGCTCTTCTTCACTTCCCTGTTTGCTTCTGTATATTCAGCTTTGGCCTTGACTCTCTCTGCTCTTGTTCGGTTGACATTGATTGCTTCACTCTTGTTTCTCCTTTCTTCAATTTTTGCAAGAGTACCAACAGAAATCCATTTCTTGTGATGGTGCTTCTTGCGACCAAGGACCTCCTGACATGTTGAAGCGATTGCCTCCTTAATCCCTTTCTAATTGTTCTCCAAGGTTGCTTCCTTTCCATTGAGAATAACGTGCAAGGCCTGGAACCTATTGGTGAGGGCTATCTTGAATTCATTGAGTTTTACGGTATCCCGAAGAAAGGCCGTATTTAACTTCTGTGATCTTGTCCGTCCCATTTTACAGTGCTTCTTTAGTTTGAATTTCATTTTGGCGACCAGCAAGTGGTGATCTGAGACTATATCAGCTCCTCTCCTGGTTCTCACATCCTCCATAGTCCTTCTGAACGTTTTGTTGATACAGATATGATCAATTTGGTTTTGAGTAGTGTAGTCCGGTGAAATCCATGTGGCTTTGTGTATGCGTTTGTGCGGGAATATTGTGCCACCGATGACCAGTTTGTTGAAGGCACATAGGTTTGCAAATCTCTCACCGTTTTCGTTCCTTTCTCCCAGTCCATGTCGTCCCATGATGTCTTCATATCCAGTGTTGTCCATTCCAATCTCGGCATTCAGGTCTCCCATCAGAATCGTCAAATCCTTTGGTGAACATTTCTCGACGATTGACTGCAGCCTTTCGTAGAATTGATCTTTAACGTCGTCATTGTAGTCATTGGTAGGTGCATAACACTGGATGACGTTCATTGTAATTTCCTCTTTCCTAGTTTTGAAGGATGCTTCAATGATCCTGGGTCCATGAGATTCCTATCCTATCAGTGCCTTTTGTGCATGTTTGGACAGCATCTCCTTGTGTATGTGAAGCATTTTCCTCTTTATGACCAGAGTATAACAGCAGTTCCCCTGAAGCTAGTCTCAGTTGTCCTACTTTTGTCCAGTGTGTTTCACTGATGCTGAGCACCTCGAGGTTGTATCTTTTCATTTCTGCAGCAACTCGGAAGAGTCTTCTGATTTCCTACAATTTTCGAACATTCCATTTACATAAAAGAATGGTTGCTCTGGTTGTCAGAAGAGGCATCGTCCTCGTGACTTCCGAGAGAACACTTAACGCTTCGTCATAATTCTTCTACCAACCCCCAGGTCTGAGTCTAAAGCCACTTTCAACAGAGGGGATTTCCCTTTAGCGAAATTCTTACCTTTTAAAAGACGGCATGGTTTGGCCAGTATATTGCACATTCCGAGGATCACACTTAACGGCGTGATTGCGAAAAATGGGACACTTGACAATGATGGATTACAACTAGCATGCTTCTCGTAATGTACTGCTATTTGAGAATAAATATTATTATTACCAGTTTAAACAACTATTATTTCGAAGCATGAAGGGAATGACAACGGTAATGAAATGAATCTATTGAAAATCCTTTCAAATTTCTTTATTTGGCAGTATTGTTATTTCTTTTTTTCAGCACACAGCGTTGTATTTTCAATTTCCTTCAGTGCCAAAATTCAAATTCTTCAGTCTACGTTTGTAGAATCCTTTTTGAATGTTTTGTGTTTTGGAAAATCCCTCCATGTTTACATATTTTTGCTATGACATGACGGACTTTTTCTGTTGACATTTTTGGTATTTTATTTGATTCCAATTTGAGATTTTATCATTGTATATTGTTATTCTTTCTATATTTTGTACTTATATTGAAGTTTTTGTGTTTGCTTCTGATCTGTATATATGTTGTTTAAATTTGATCTTTAATATGGCTACAGCCATATTTGGATTGATGCAGTGGCCGCTGGACTTAGCGTCACTTATCTATTACTGTTTCTGATACTCTTCGGAGTAATTGTATCCTGGAAGAGGCATTATTTCCAGGTAATGCTTTGTATTTCCATGTTTTTATTTAAATAAGACGCTTTCTCCTAGAATTTTTGTCCTTTTTGATTTGTTGGACCTGGGACTGGGAGAATCGTACAGGAGTGCCCCTATTGGAACCCATTGGAACGGCCACTGTAGAAATTCATTTACAACGTTCTCCAGGTCATTATTATATGACTTCGTTTACTTGTACTGATTAAGTTTTCCGTTTCTCGTTGTCATGTCATTGACAACTCGGTTGTTTTAGACTAAACTTAAGGGTCTAGCGTAGTGGCTGGGGTGCTTTTTGACCTTTGACCATCTACTGAAAACTATTGCAAGGATACTTAGAGAGAGATACTTGATCACATCTTGGAAATACACTTAATGGTGCTTCGGAACCGAACAGTTATTAATTAATCATTCGTTCGTCTGTTTTCTACTCTATTTTTTGCGAACGAAGTCCGTGACGATGTAGCTTAGGTATTTTTTAATTTTGACACAAATTTTTTTATTAAATTACAAAGTTTCAAATTGAGCACGGGATTTGTATTTTGATATCATATAAAATGATTGTCTTAAGAACACTTCGAACGCTTTACAGAAGGAAGCAGTTTGGCCTTACGTAATAAACCTTGGTTCCTTAGCTATATATTTGGGCAGGGTACCGGTTAGATTAATGAATAGGCCTAGATTCAATCGTCATCGTATTTTTCAACTTGCCATTAGCCTTATGCTTAGATCATTGTTGACATGATGATGCATCAGTCAATGCCTCAAAGGATTTAGCACATTTTGATCTCAGTAATCAACACAGTCTTATTGGTCCGTTCTTCTTACAGACCAATACGTCCAAACACGCCCACAAACAAAAGGATGCTGTTATTTTGTCTTTATCTAACGCCCCGTTCATCATACGGATAAATTCGGATCGGAATTCGCTTAAAGTACTTCAAGGCTCTTTTCTAATAAATATGGCGTGTCTTTTGTCAATCTTATGTTTCCTAGTGTGCCCCCGCCGAATCCTTCAAGTGTCCATGCAATATTTTCAGAATTTATCATTAGAAATTTACGAACTTCTCGATATTTGTCTATGAACGCGGCCAATAATTACTTCAGTGACCACTTAATAACCGACATAACCACCAGGTATAAAGTGTTCAATCCTCGTTTCCCAAATTCTTACTGCATGCCCAGAAAGTTTGCCGGATCATTATTGCAGTTTTCGTTCATTCTTCCCATATCTGTCTCCATTTCCCTGCCATATGAGTTCTAATTTCTGGTCTTTTAATTTGACCTTGAAACCTCCGAGTGAGGGCTGGTCTTGTGGCAAAGTTATGTGCTTACCTCAACGCGTGTCCAATCCACCTCTTTCTGCTTTCTTCCTCCACTGGAATCTGGTTCGTTCTATCCCGCAGCAGGTTGTTACTCAAGGTTTCTGACCAGCTGATCCGAAGTTTTTTTCGATGACTAATGTCAATAAACACTTGCATCTTCCGGATGTTGGCCTTCATGGTTTACCAAGTTTCCATCTCACACATTAAAACTGTCTTGAAATTCATAGTGAAAATTCTGGCTACCGTGTGGGTTGTTAGTTGTTTTGAGTTCCATATGTTATCAAATTACAGAAATGTTGCGATTGATTCGCTGCTCCGCTCTTTTACGTCTGCATTAGAACCACCTTGCTTATCAATTGAGCTGCCTCGAAGGCTAATCCCTTGAGCTTATTTCATTGGTGCAGGTCGTTTAGTATCGGAGGATCTTGTTTTCTTCTTTTGTGTGTGCGGAGACATGATGCTTCTGATGCTGCTGCTACACTAGTCTTCTTCTCGTGCATTTACTGTTGCCTGGGAGAAAGAAAAGCCAAATCATCCACGGGGTCCGAGTCGTCTAATTGCATAATAGCTGTTCTGTCTGGTCCGTGCTTCACTTGTGATATTTAGGCTTCATAATCCAGTCGATCACCTTGCTTGACACCAGTCTTCGGTTTGAACGAGTCTGTCAGCTGTTCTTTGTGAACGATCTTGCAGTTTAATCCATCACAAGAATTCCGTATGATGTTGACTATCTTCTCAGGCACGCCGTAGTGTTGTCCTGTTCACGCTATCAAATGCTTTCTCGTAGTCAATGAAGTTGATGTAGAGTGGTGAATTCCATTCATTTGATTGTTCCACAATTACGATTAATGTTGCGATTCGGTCGGTACAGGATCGATCCTTACAAAGCCCAGCCTGTTGGTCCCGAATTTAGGAGTCTATGAAGTCCTTCATTTTGTTTAACAACACCCTGTTGAAGACTTGATCTGGTGAAGTGTGATGGCCCTGTAGTTCCTCCACTTTCTGAGATCACCTTTCTTTAGTATTTTGGTTAGTTGTCCTTGTTCTCGGTATGTTGTTACTTGTTCTTCCTCCCAAATCTTGTTAAAGTGAATGCGTAGTATTTTTACGGTTGCTACCACATCTGCTCTCGGTGCTTCAGCTGCTATGTTATCTGGCCCGTTGCTTAGCCGCTCTTGATCTGTCTGATGGTCATGCTGATCTCTTTATTTGTTTGTGAGTCAACATTTATTGGAAGGTCGGTGGATGCTGCTTTGACGTCGCGTGAGTTTATTTGGGCTGGTCTAATCAAGATTTCCTTAATGTGCTCCATCCACCTGTTTTGCTATTCTTCATTGTTGCTGATTGCTTTACCTTCCTTGCTTTTCACTGGTCTTTCTGATTTACGATAGTTTCCAGCGAGCTTCTTTGTTGTACCGTACAAGTGTCTTAAATTTCCTTCTCTTGCAGCCTTTTCCACCGTCATTGCTGGATCTTCTAAATATTTACGTCTGTCCGCTCTGATGCCTTACTTCGCTTGCTTGTTTGCTTCTGTATATTCAGTTTTGGCCTTGACTCTCTCTGCTCTTGTTCGGTTGACATTGATTGCTTCACTCTTGTTTCTCTTGTTTCCGTTTCAGTTGGCGACCAGCAAGTTGTATACGATTAACACAACCTTTGCCGATTCCGGCGCTCCATTTGACCTCTGTATCATATTCCTATCCATTTTACTTGGACCAATCCCATCGCTGTTGTAAGAGAACTGGGTGTTTTTCAGACTGCTACGCTAGGAATAGGCCGTAAAAGATGTTGGTTCGTACGTCACATACCTATTCCTGTGCTTAGGGCATTCAAAGCATCTGTAGAAGGAACTCTTCATCTCCGATAAGTTTATGATCCTTCTCTGTCACTTGCTTACTCCACTTAACCCTATTAACCCTCGCAATTCATAGGCCACCAATCAGCATTTCCTGACCCACCCTGCCCTAAGGCATTCTTATCCAGTTCTATCCAGTTGGCTTTCATTCTTTTTATGTCTGCCTCTAATTCTCTGAACAAAGTATTATTTGATCATCCTCTTTTTGTTCGGATCAGAGGATACCAAGTGTGAGTTTTTCTTATGACGCAGTCGGAGGCTTTCCTCAATGTATGTCATGTCCATCTCGACGGCTTTAATCCAAATTATTCCTCAGCTAAAATCCGAATTCTTCCCTTGTATAGTGGGTTGTTTCTGATAGTATCTGGCTGTTAAGTGTAATTAAATGCTCTCGTAATTAATTGTTTGACAATCATTCGGAAAACTGAAGCAAGATAGATTTCCCAACTGTCGTGGGCTTTCCGGTAGAAAGGGGTCACTGCGCCAGTTATTTCAGATGCCACATATAATGTTTCACAAACGTTTCCTTGCTTTGCTTTCAACTTTGAAACAATAGTCAACGTTCGACATGTACCGTCCTCATCTTCTGAAGTTAGTTCTCAACATCGGATTCCTCGTGAAGGCTTACACTGGCAATTTAAAATCTTTTGATGATTCCAGTGACAGTATGAAAATGAGGGAATGCGACTACTGATGCTGAGGGAAATGTTTGAGATAACGCTTACAGTGCTCCTCCATGAAGGAAATGATAAGAAAAATTTCAGAATCACGTTAACTGCAGCTGCAATCACGCCCGTAAGTTAGTTCCTAAAAAGTATCGTAATTGAATATACCACCTCGCTGGCCTTGATAGAATGTGCATGATTTCTTCATTGGACTTATACCTATACCTTTTGTTTCAGCCCGTTAAAATTCTGCAGCACTCTGAAACTCATCTTCTTGCCACAGCGTCGGCAGCTCTGGAAGGCTCGCTAAGTCTGCAGCTGGCCTTCGTCTCGACATATAGACACTTGAAAGAAAAAAGTTTTACGTGCGCGAATGACTGAAAGTTAAAACGACTGCGTTTACACTACCGTTTAACCAACGATCTACACTGAACAGGATACTAGTTGTCTCCATTCAGTCAAACCAAACTTTTCATGAAAAAACGCCATAAATTTTAGGTCATTTATGAAATGGTTAGTACATGGTTCTCCCTCGATCATAGTACATCTCTTACGTCAGATTTTATTCATAACTGTATCTGCCAGAATAATCTCAACACTATCAGCTATGACCTTGTCAATATTCAGTCCACCATTAGAACCCTCAAACCCAATTCAAGCTGCGATGCCAATAATTTACCATCCATACTTTTTGAAATCGTAGGACCAAATATGCTAGCACTATTGCTCAAAATATTTACATTCGTAATCTACTTCGACAGTATACGAGTTTGCTCCAGTACTGTCAAAAACCCACTCTACGCAAATTAGCTTTAAACGGTCTGTAAAACTAACAAGTGTGACATAGGAAATTCGGCGCAAAAAATCCAGTATGAACTTGGTAATGGAGATAACTGGCTCA